TTCCTTTCTCCTTTACTTTCTCCTTTCCTTTCTCCTTTCCTTTCTCCTTGCTTTTCCCCTTTCCTTTCTCCTTTCCTTTCTCCTTTCCTTTCTCCTTTCCTTTCTCCTTTCCTTTCTCCTTTCCTTTCTCCTTTCATTTCTCCTTTCCTTTCTCCTTTCCTTTCTCCTTTCCTTTCTCCTTTCCTTTCTCCTTTCCTTTCTCCTTTCCTTTCTCCTGAAACTCACAAATGCGATTTAGGGGACAACAACTAGCATATTCACACCAGAACAGGGGATTATATAATAAATTTTATATGCCATCAAGAGTTTAAGTCTATATCTCTAATAGCAACGGACTGAAACTTAGAATGCCTTGGACCAAAAAAATATTGAAAGGGTCTCCAAATATGGCGATAAACATGCGCACTTAGAATGCCTCATAAAAGTCCAGCTCGCAGGTTTGAATGTTTTAGCGATGGAGGCATTCTAAGTGAGGCCAAAAAAAAGGCATTCTAAGTGGCACCGTTAAAAATCTTAACAAACATGGCGGCATTCTAAGTTTCAGTCCGTCGCTATATATATATATGTTAACCCTTAGTTAACCATTATAATTAACCATTATTTGCCATTAGTAACCATTATTATTAACCATTATTTTACCATTATTTGTCATTAACTAATGGTCATTAACCCTTTATTAACCCATCACGTTCTTCGTTGAGGAAGTGGAGCGTGCCGGCTTGGCCTTCCACGCGGACGACGGTGTGCGGCGCCTGCAGAGCGCGACGACGCGTTCGGCCACGGTGCAGGTGCTGGAGCTGCGATGGCAGTGGGTCAAAACCTTGTACCCCTAGTGAACATCAAAATAGCTGGTAAATGGATGTTCATCCCCCTAAAAATGGTATCTATAGGTATTTACCCTTACCCATATATTTTTATATACAAACAGTAGATAACAATAGATAAACAATATATATATAATACTAGATTATATACAAACAGTAGATATTGGATATACTATATATATACCTTATCTACTGTTTATATAACTTACCAATATGATATTTCTATTATTAGCTATTATAATTATTATCTATTTTGTATATAATGGATATATAAACAGTAGATACTATATAATAATAGATAATAGATAATAGATAATATAATGTGGATGTTTAATCACAGTAAATCTCCCATTAATATCCCAGAAATAGCCATGGGTCAATAGCTGTCGATACATTTTGCTAGGGGACGAACATCCATATATACACTATTCCATCATCATCTTACCCATAATAGCCCTCTATAGAATGATACTATATGGAGGTTTCCTAAGATGGGGGTACCCTCAAATCATCCATTTGTAGATAGATTTTCCATGAAATCAACCGTCGCTATGGGTCAATATCCATAAATCCCAGTTTTTCTTGATGTGAACAGAAAGAAGGTGGTATAATGTGGGTAAAACAATGCCATAGACCACCCATGACTGGGAATGGTTTGAATCCCACCTAAAAAATGGTGATGACTGGGGGATGGTTTATGCCATTGCTTTGCCCACATTATGATTTAAGCAATAGATGCTAGATTCATACAAACTAATTAAGATATAGTATTGCTGGTATATGATAGGGATTAAGCAGTTGATAAATACAACTAGTCAATAGACACTATATACCCATTAAATCATACTATTGTTAGTTAGCAATCATCTATAGTTCGAGATGGAGAAGTAAACCTATTCTAGTCACTATATAACTTTCAGTATGCCAATATCTTATATCACTGTCAATGGTTTCAATAAGTGCACAATATATATATATTACAAAAATAGATTAACGCTTAGTTATGAACTGGTACTAACATCAACGGTTACTATATCGATTAGAGAATAACTTCATGTCCACACATCATATTCTAATAGTCAAACCATTGAGATATCATTTGGTATCTACCAACTATATATATATATACAGTATATATATATACCAATATACTGATCATATTCAAATGACAACAACCGTCAAACAACTGGTATATTACTATCACAATCGACGACAACAACAACAACTACTACAACAACAACAGCAACAACAACAACAGCAACAACAACAACAACAACAAACATAAACATATTGTAAATCGTAAACATAGTAACACTAATAACACCAATAGCAGCAATGATCATGTGTGGTATCGAACAAAACCATCAACAATACCGCAGACCAATAAGAATTACAAATCCCATGAATATCAACACACACAAAAAACAACAATAAACAATGTAAGAACTGATGATAGTTACTATGTATACTCATTAACAATGATAATGATCACGATGTGAAAAGTCACCAGGCCTACATGAGTTCTACATCTCCATTTTGAGTACTCCAAACCACCAGGCCTACATCAACACCAAGCGTTTGAGTGTCACAGAGATCAACACCCTGGTGCCCCAAGTCTTCGAAAATGCCGCGACAGCCACAGCTCTTTGGCCGCGAAGAAATGGAGATATTTCTCTGAGAAATGATCCTGAGATCTCCGGAATTCCGATCACTTTTTTCAACAAATCCTGGGGTGTTTCATGTTACAAAAAGCAGGTTTCCAATCTGGTGCAGCAAACATACCCGCACCAAGGACATCATGAACTTCCCTGTGTCGGCAGCAAGAAACTCAGAACGATCAGACCCCGTGGCAGCCTGGTCTTGGGATCCTTGGAAAATCCATCGCTTCATCGCAAACACAAGGGATCTTTAGACAGTTTCACGGGATCAAAATTGGGAACCTCGAAGAATGGTTGTTTTTGTCAGTGTGGTATTCCCCACAACTGTTGAGTCGTGGATGTGTCCTGTTGGCTCTACGGCTAGATGCGGAAGTCCCAACCTCGGCGCCATGGGGAATTGCGCCATCGCAAGTTGTCAGCCACTGGCAGTCACTTGGTCGAAGATTTCTAGGTTTCTAGCACTGCTCCCACTTAGAAACTCTCAACACTTCACCCGAAGTGACAACAAAAAAGGCCCTGATTGGGACAACCAAAAATGCAACTTGCCGAGGATTTACACCCGAATCCCGTTGATTTCACCAATTCCCCAGCCGACCCCTTTCCATTTCAACCCCAGTTGTAGGTTGGGGGATGGGAATATAACATAATATAACATATCCCAAAGTGACCAATCCATTGATCATTTTTCATTATTGGCAATATGTGTTGAATAAAGCCAACATTTTTTTAAAAAAATATTACACCATATCTCCCTATATATATATATATGATAAATATATATATATATAATATATGTAAAATATAAATCTACTACCAAAATGTGATCCGATCTTTTGTGTTGTTGTTGTTTCGTGGGATTCACCTGCCATAAACAGGAAACCATTTGGGGATGGTCTTTTTGGACCACAGACTTAGGTGGCAATCTGCGAGGTCTCTCCACAAGGAAAGGCTTGTCCCGGTGCCGGGCCAGTGTCCCGGTGAGAAGACATGGGAGCTAAAATCCCCTAAAACCGGACTTTTGAAGCGGTGAAAATGAGCAAATATAACCTGCAAGAACTGAATTTTTGAGGTGCAAATAGGATATTCATGGATTTAAGCCAACAAACATACGGACATTGGGATTTTAATCGGCTGAACATGTGATATTTTTCCTGAACCAACGATAACAATTGGGTTCAAGCAACAAAATTCAACACGCATGGGACATTCACACAAAACGCGTTACATTTGTCTCTTGCAAACATGGGATTCCATTGATTTTCCCTGTGGCTCTCCATGGAAACATCTGTCAGCTAGGCCGCTGCTAAGGTGTCGGGAAGGTGCACTGGGACAGTCACTTTTACCCAGGACGATGGCTGCCTCAAACTCCCAAACTTTTTGGAAACTGGAGTCATTGGGGGATGGGATGCTTCAGTCACTTGAGTCACTTGAGTCACTTGAGTCTAGAAACATCAGGCCATCCTTGGGCCTTTGGTTGGCTCTCCACTTAGTTGGCTCCGACTGCGAGGAGACGGAGCACCGCTGCAAGATCGAGTACGAGGTCATGGGCATGACCCCGGGCCTTCATGGTTTCCACGTCCACGAGAAGGTCGGGAACGAGAATCGTCCTGGCGACTGCTTTAAGAAACGTGCAAAAAGTTGTTAAAAAAAACATGTTATACCATGTTATAGCATGTTATACCAGTAGATTTTCGCGTCGACGGAAAAAAAAACACCCGCAGAAACGTAGATCATCAGCCCTTCGGGCATCCGAGAGAGGCAGACTTTAGCGATGGTTGCAACAGCTACTTGGCCAGCAGTAATCCCATCCCCGATATAGTAGGAATCCTGGTACAAGCCGAATATCCAGATGGGATCCAAATGAAAGCCTGGTAAAATGTATTGGATCTATTTCATACATTCCATATGGGACCATATGGAAGCTATTTGATTTCTGGGGCGAATTCTGATTCCATGTTCTGGTTTTCGAATTGTTTTCGACCGGTCACTTTCGTGTGAGGTGCAGGACCGCACTTCAATCCCTACAACAAGATGCATGGTGGGCCCAATGATGAAGACACTGGGTGAAGTCAGGGATGGTGAAATCCGTGAAAGGTTAGCTTGAATTCGAGGACCCCCGAAATTGAAGCGAGACCACTGGTAAATAATGGTAAATAGGTCATGACTCTAGATATTTTTATTTTTTTTTGGCCGGATCATTGCGGCTGCTAATGTCCAGAAACTTTTGTGGAAGGATGTCCTGGGCAGCCCAGGAGAGGCATGTGGGCGACATGGGGAACATCGAAGCAGACTCCAGCCATGAGCTTGGGCTTTGATGGACACAACTGTAGCTGTTTTGAGATATAGCAGCCCCTGTCTAAGATGTAGAAAAGTAAAGGACTACTAAAAACAATGGCATGTAAAAAAAGAAGCAACAATGGTAGATATATATATATATAATTATATTAATTATATATATATATATATTTATATTCATAATACGGATATATTTCTATAGATACATGCAATTCATATCTCTTGCGGGGTACATGTAAGTGGTTTTCTTGACTTTGAACCAGAAGTTGTTGTGCTTTTCGTGGTGTAAATTCGCGCTGAGACGGTGTGGCCCGTGGCGTTCTTTACGATCATCTCATCAAGTTTCTGGGATCGAAGACGGTTGGGTTGGAAATGGGGCATGATGGCCTGGTATGGTTATGGCATTTTTATGGCATTTTTTATAGGGAACAAACTGGAAATCAGTGGATTTCTTATTTTCAGACCCACTTGGAGACTTTACAACTTTATTTGGGCGAAAACCTTTTGACCAGTTTTTTGGTCTGCAGGATGAGAGATTCATGACAAGGCTTGGGACACCCTCAAGTCCCAGGGTAGTTGAGAGTGTGGCCCCCGTGCCGTAAGGATCATTGGGCCTGCAGAGTTCTCTGTGGTGGGCCGCAGTGTTGCTTGGAACCAATGACCCAGGTCCATGCACAAAGATCAAGAAGAAACAAGAGTTGGTCGATAAACCCACCATGTGGGTAGATGGTTGAAAAAGTAGGGTGGATGCATTCATCATTTTGGTGGATAATACATGATAATACATTATTTTTTCCCATATGTTTGGAGCGAGCTAGTTGGACAAGCCATACTTTCGGCAGGTCGTTCCGGGGTTTCATCCAAACATGTTCCCATTCTGTCAGTGATCATAACAATCCCAATTTTTCCAATTTCCATGGCATCCAAGAGTCAGGCACCCCGAATAAACCAACAAATCAACCGGGAAAAAACACCCTGGAGTTTCCCCGCATGACATCAGCCGCCCTTTTAAAGCACCGAAATCCTCGGCGAGGTCATGGTACACGCCGACCCGGACGATTTGGGACGGGGCGACAACTCGCAACCCGGTCCACCTCCGGTGAATGGCAAGGCATCCAAGGCGGGTTATCCGCAGGTTTGGTGGACACAGAAGGGTGGAAAATGACCATTTAGGGGCACAGGGATATGCCAACCATGATAGATTCCCAGAGTGTATTGTCCCTACAAATTCAGGAAGACCTCATTTTGGTGACCTTCGCATGTCAGGTGACTGGCAATGCGGGTGCTCGCATTGCCTGTGGTGAGATCAAGCTGCAAACAAAGGCGAGCAGCGGAGAGTGAGGGCAGGGGCGAAGACCCTTGGTCGTTGCAGAGTCGCAGATTTCTGTTGCTTGAAAACGCGTTTCAACTGCTGGCCACAGAAATCTGGAGTGGGTCTGGCGTCAAAGATGCGCCAGCCTTAACCTTTCTCAGTTAGCGGACTGGCCCAGTCCTGGCATTCTACTGCGCGAAAGAAGCGGTTTGTGGCACTGATGCATCCGAACCAAGATGATGTTGGGTCGACCTACAGAGATCCGTACAGATCTCCAACAGCCCATTTCTTTTAACCCTGGTGTAATCCGACCTGGAAAATGCCTCAGCAATAGTTGGATGATTTTCTCAGCAACCTAAACCTCATTGAGTTCGGCCTCACCCAGCCATGACTATCCAAAGGGGATCTGGAATCGGCCTTAAGGTGAGCCTTGAATATTTGGCGAATGATGGAATCTGGAAGGACATGAAAAAGAGCCCGGGGGCCCAGACATTTTTTCTGAGGAGAATGGAGGCAACAACTGGCTGGGTCAGCGTCCAGAAAATACTGTCATTCTAATCATTTCTAATTCCAATTTGGTAACAGAATCCCTGAAACTTAGAACAAGATAGGGGTATAATGGTTTAATGAATCACAAAAATTGGATACTCCATATAGCTCCATATAACTCCATATAACTCCATAGGGGTACAATGGTACAATGGTACAACATAGGGGAATATCTTCAGGGTGAGAGCATTTTCAGAACAAACTCGGTGGAAGTCTGGACATCCCCAAAGACCCAACAGCAGAGGTGTGTCAATGATGTTTAGTATGTTTAGCATGTTTAGTTTGTTAGGATGTTTAGAATGTTCGATATGTTTAGTATGTTTAGTATGTTGAGCAAGGTTATCTATGTCAGGTAGTGTCAGCTTGGTGAGTTGCGATTTCTTGATTCGCCACCAAAAACAGCATTGACAGCTGCCTGCGGATTGGCTCAGCCAACGGGCACAAGTTGGAAACAGTCCTCTAAATGAGAAATCTCTGAAAGACCGTAACCGCAAGGCAGATTGGGGGCGGAATTGATGGTTGGATTGAAACCCTTGTAGGAAGTGTTGCGTGTACTTTAAACATCTTCTTTTTGACTTTCCGTGCGGTGCAGCGTGTGCCGCCGAAGTGTGTCACCAAGATGCAATTGAAGCCCGGGCACTCAGAGAACTCAGTGCCTGTTTTGCTGTGGATCGAAACCCTCGTACTACGAGCCTGGTTTTCACATCAAAACAGCTGGTACACCTGGGTTTGTCTGAAATCGGGTACAACACACATTTTGATGGTTGATCATCATTTTTCCCCATGAAGAAATGGCAATTTGGGGTGTTGATGCCCTGTCTGCAGACACAATCAGCTGGATGTTCATCCGACGAATCGTTCATCGGCCTTGATCCATAATGTGGTCAACCCAATGAAAATACCCAAAAACCACCAGAAACGGGTGGGATTCAAACATTATAATCTGGGAAACCCAATGGCATAAACCTACCATTTGGCGATGGTGTATATACCGTATATACCATGCATTTCTGGTGATTTTGAGGATGGTTTATGGCATTGGGTCATGACATGTGCCCAGGCTTGGTTGCCTGGGGTGCTTCTCCAAGGGTGCTGGCGGACAGGACGTGCCAGATATCGAGAAAAGGATTCGGGCTATAGCGTCTTTTTGTGACCGGATCCTAATTAGATCCGGAGTTATGATCTAATTCTTTCCTGCAATTACATTATATATATAGCAACCCCCAAGAACATGACACGGAAATGAAAGAGTGATAGTTCGCGTTTCCATCGTTTTGGGGGTTACTATATGTAATCATATATAGTGATCTATCTATCTATCTATCTATCTATCTATCTATCTATCTATCTATCTATCTATCTATCTAGTGATCTATATATATATATATATTCGAACATGGAACCTTGCCAAAGAGATCAGGATGTCAGTGAACCTGTGGAGTCGCCCGCGGAGGAGCAGGGTTTTTCCATTTTCTGGGTGTTTTGAGAAAACTGGGAGATCGCCATAGTTCTGGTCACCATTTTAATGGCCATGTAGAAACCACCCCCCAATTTCAAGGGTCCACATGATCCAATCTCCAGAATTGGAGTGTGAAAGCCTTTAGTTTTTCCCAAGGTGATTCCAGAATTGATGGGAAAATTCACAGGAACCCCTGGGTTTTTTTCAGGGTAAAAAGCCATAGAGTCATAGAGTTCCTGGGACGAATGGACAAGCCACCAGAGATGCAGATCAGGCTTAGGATCAGCTAGGATTTCATATGGACACAGAAGAGCCCCTTATTGAGGGACGCACACAACAAGTTTTATGGGAAGCTTTTTGGATGGCTCAGCAAACCAACGACCATACATGACCACATGGGTCGCCGAGTAGGCGAGTTTTGGGGCGGCGGAAGTGTTTTGCTATTTGAAGCCGAATCTCGCAGAAGATTTCTGGGTTTAGATGGTTTAGGGACCTGGAAGTCTCATTTCATCACAGAGTTTTTGGGATTAACTCGCCCCAGTCGTTGGTGGATGGATGGTTGGCATTGGGTGAGTTTACCACATCTAGTGACACAAAGTTCGATCGCCAGGATGCCGTTGCAAAGCCTCCAATCCATGAGGACGGGTGCAGGGTATACAGCATTTGAAGACACGCCCATTGCCACATGATTTTGCAAACTTACTCAGGTTGAATGACCCAGCAAAAGAGAAAAGTCCATGTGGTAAACCCAACAAAAAGCCTATAATTTGTATTAAATATACTAAATCCAGTAATACACCTAACATCACCTATAAATGTGCACAGACAGTATGTGTATATATGTATATATATATATATGTAAGTATGTATATATATATATATATACACATCTGTGTGTGTTTCAGAGGTTGGCAGGCCATCCAAGCTATTTCTGTTCCAGGAGCTCAAACAGAGGGGTCGGGAGGCGCGTGGGCCATCCAGGGTTTCCCTAAAATGGGAACATTTTTGCAACAAAACATTGGCTTCCCGTTGAAAACTTTTCCAACAGCTTGAAGTTTAGCACTTGTTTGGCTGCACTTTTTGTTTGGCTGCGACATTGGGATCCTTGTTCAGAAGCAGGAAAAAGTACGAACTATAGGACTAAGTAGGATTTGTTTGCTCGGAGGCTGACATTGGGATTGAGCCCAGCCATGGAGACCCGCTAAAAATTGCGATGTCAAAAACCAGAGAAGCAAATATGATGCACCCCAGTCTTGGTCATTTTCCATAGTAACCCCCTCCCCTCCACCCAAGGTGATAAGGATTGATAAGGTGAATTTCTGTTCTCCATAAAAGGGTGGCTTTATTCACCCAAAGTCACCACGTCCCCTGAAATATTGTGTAGCCAATCGAGACCCCCTTGGAATGTATTGGATTGGTTCATTTGGGGGTGCATCCTAGATATGGCCTAATGCTTTATCAACCAATTAAGATTCCTGAACTGGCCCAAGTAGTAATCCTTCCTCGGCTTTATAACATTTTATAACCCCATATGCAAACCATCTGATCCATATGCTTAACGTTTTTTTTGGTATACCCTCTGGTTATTTAACATAGCCATGGTATAGATGGCCCATAGAAATAGATGGATTACCTATTAATAGCATGGTGGATCTTTCCATGGCTATGTAACAAATAACCAGATGGTATAAAATTGGGTTTACCAAAATAGGGGTACCACCAGATGGTAAATCACCATTTTTAATAGGTAATGGTAAATTTATGGTTCCCAGCCACTTCCAAACAAACTGCTGGAGCTGGGGTGAACCCCCAGGACTTCTCGGACTGCAGCACGATCCCCTCGGAGCCCACGCCGGAGTGCCGGCGCAGCACGACGATGATGACGGCCCCTGGGCTCCGGAAAGCGGGGATGGTCAACATGCCACGGCGAGTTCAAGTGGAGAACCATGTTAGGACTACCCCTACTTTTTCTCTGGATTCCCAGTTATATATATATAATATATATATATATATAATATAATATATATATAATATATAATATATATATATATATAATATATTATATATATAATATATATATAATATATATATATGATATATGATATGGGGGTTATAAACCACTTACGGTGCCATATCCAAGTGGTCCACAGCATCTTTTTGAAATGTATGCCAGCTTTGCTTGTGTTTCGATTCTGGAGTCTTGGATCTGGGATCTGAGGATATGACGAGTATGCTTGTGGAGTATCAGCCGACGAGTGGTAAAGCGGAGAGCGAACCTTCTGACCGTCCCAGGCTCAGAGGCTCAGGTTGAGATCCGCTGGAAGAGTTTGGATGACGATGTGGGAAAGCCACTACCATAAACAACTACCATTTGGTGATGGTTACCAGAAGTTCATGGTGACTTGGGGATGGTTTGGCCATTTTTGGTATGGCTAGAACGGTAGAATCTCAAAATTGCAGCGGTTTTCACAGGTCAAACCTCTGTGAAATCACAGCTTCAATCCCTGTTTTTGCAGGTCAAACCCCAACCTTCCACAGATCAAAGCTTCATCGTTACGGGAGGGATGAAGTTTTTTTGGAGGTTCCAGGCCGGCGCTTGAAACGAATCATCGGACAAAAAACAGACCACCCAAAACGCCACCATCCCATGGTTTATCATCACTCAGAGAGAAATAGCAACTTTGGGTATCCAGGAATCTTTAAGAGCCATATTCAATGATAGTAAAAGCCAATAAGCAACAATACATCAGGTATCAAACTACCAAAAAAACCAGTTGAACTTCCAGCATTTTGGGGATCCCCAAAGCCGTGTCTGACCACGTCACAAGGTCCAGAATCTCCACTTCCACCAGACCGTGAGTGCGGCAGCCAGTTGAACTGAGTTGGGAACATGGGTCACACCCATGTTGTCAATAAACATGGAATAGGATACATTTATGGTTTTATGAACACCAATAATTTCAGGCTGAGAATCCGAAGATTCGTGGCCCGTGATCCCGGCACATATAAACCATAGGTCCCTGAACATCCACAAATGGACGTTGCAATCGCCGGAATCTCCAGGACATTCTCCGTGGCCTTAGCCATGATAGCAATCGCCACACCCGAAATATCAATGAATGATAGAAAGTCCATCAGGGGTTGATGGATTCAAACTTGTCCTTCACATCAGCCAGATGGTGAATGGGCAACAAAATATCATTATCATTCCTTATCAATCCCGTGACATGGTCAAATGAATCCCATCCTAGAATTGGTAAACGTGGTAAACCATAAGGAACCCCAGAAAGCCCTTAAATTCTGTGGTACCCTGGATTTGTTATTTTTGTCCAATCCATTGGTAGTTAAATATATAATCAAATACTTTTTTTTTCCTGGTCTCATCACTTTTGGTGCTTCAACCACCATTTTTTCAGCCCCAGTTTTTGGGTCTAGGCCGCCTAGGCCGGCTGACGAGCAGCCAGCGGCACACCTGCCAATTCGAAGCCTGGTGGCAATTTTGGGACCTTTGGAATCGATTCGGATTCCTGCTGACTTGATGTTCGTGGGTGATTTTCTTGGGAACATGAATCTTCACATGGTGGATTTGGTGGCCAAATGGCCAATGTTGATGAGACAATTTATATTGTAAACGAAAAACAAAAAAAACACAGGGTGGTTGCGTAATCTGTGGATCTCAATTTGTCCAACGGTTTTTTGCTGGTTGGTGGTTTGGAACATGAATTTTATTTTCCCCCTTCTAGTTGGGATGATGATCCAATCGATCCAATCTGACGAAGTCCATCATTTTTCAAGGGGGTAGGTCAATTTTTATAAACACCAACCAGATAATTTATTATAAATATACAATTTTTATCCATAAATGTACCATTATACCACCAACGGTTGTTTGGCTTCACAACTTCTTTGGCACTTCCCCTCCGTCGCCAAGGAAATGCGCCTGAAAGTCCAGGAAATGCAGCGCACTCTCAGGTCCTGTGGCAGGGCAAAACTTGGGCTGAAGAAACACAGATTTCCCATGTGATTCCCATGGAATTGCCATGTAATTACCATGTATTTCCCATGTAAACAAACCATGTAACATTCTGGATGCTCGGAAACGCAGGGCCCTAGTCCCTGCAACAGGAGACGTTGGGGAACTCAGATGGGGAAGCGTTGCAGTGCCTTTTCTCACCACCCAATCACACCCAGAATTTACCCACATTTTCCTTTTCCAATTGCCAGCACAGGGGTTCATTAGATTGAGAGTTCAAGGTTTTCGATATTGTATCATGGTTATGAACAGAGGGAAACCGCCACGTTGATCCATTTCGAATAACCATTCCCGGCAAATGTTCGTAAAGAGCATGCCGCATTAAGCGGCGAGGCAAACCGCACAATTATGCAAAATTGGGGTGTCCTGCCCCCTATTCTCCACAGCATAGCGATTGAATTCTACGCTCACAGTTCTTTGAAGAACCCGTCGGAACAACGACCTTTGCTACAGGTGAACTACGGCAAAATCACGAAATTTGATCAATTCCGGTAATCAAACATGGAACTGGAAAATCCCCCCATCGATAGATGTTTTTACCAGCCACAAAACTCCATTTATAGAGGTTAATCATGGTTAATCCTCATTGGTTGAATCCCTGTTTTTGTTGGTTGAATCACCATTAAAAGCTCCATCAGTTAGATGATTTTCGTGGCTACCTGATGTCCAACATGACCAGTCCAACCGGCCACCGGCCACCTCGAAAACTCGCCCCAGGCGATGCCTTTAAAAAGATGGGTAAACGAGTCACTGCACGGCTCACTGTGAAGCTCCTTGGACGGCGAAGATAAGACACTCATCCCCAGATTCAGGTGATCTTTTTCCCCAAATTTTCAAAGAGCTTGAAGTGATTCATTTCGGAAAAATGGCACATTTCAGAGTTCCATGAAGCAAGCTTTGTTGACAACTTGTCGCCATTCTCTAGTCTCGGCAAGCTTTGTGAAGTTCAGCTCACCCGGCTGAGGTTCAAGAAGCTACTGCGAAAACAGTCCACAGTGAGATCTGCCGCTGGGACGAGGAACCCGGGACAGCTCGTGACAGCTCGTGACAGCTCGTGACAGTTCGTGACAGCTCGTGACAGCCCGTGACCTTGGTTAGCCTTGGTTATTGTTGATGTTGGGATTGAGTGCTTCCAATTGTTGACTAAAAGGATCCTTGGAAACATGTTCTGTTTTATGTCGTGCAGTCAAATACCGTGCTATCAATTGCCCAACATCTTTTGCACACTGCTTGAGATGTGTATGTGTACATCCAAACGCAAATGAATACCCTACTTGTAGGGTAAACTAACATAGATGTGGGAAATCAACCATTTGTAGATTATTTTCCTAGGGAAACCATAGCTTTTCCACATCTACGTTTTACCCTAGGGTTTATGTTCAAAAGCCTCTTCAAGTGTGTATTCAAACCAGGCCTTCGCAAGTTTTCGAACAGGAGCCTTCCAGACGTGGAGATTCCCCCAAAGCCACCTCTGACCAGCCACATGATCCAGCAGGCACTGCGGGGTCCATGAGGACCTTTGGCTTTGTCCCAGTGGTTCCTAAATTCCAACAATCCATGATGGTTAATTATTGCAGTGGTTAGCCTCCAAGCATGGCAACGAAACATATACTATTTGATGATTTTACCATATATATATAAACCTCCAGTTGTATAGGATTTTCAATTGCCAGGTGTGATTACTGAAGAGTAAATCCTATTCTTATCCCATTGTATATCCGAATTGTATATCCGAATTGTATATCCCCAAGAAAATCCCTATTGTTGTTGGTTCGACCTCCATTTTTCCAATTACTGTCATATATACCGGGCATTTCCAACTTTACAGAGCCGTTCAACTTCCTTTCGCAGGCCACTGTGAGCAAGATCTGGTCCGTGCTAAAGAGGCATAGGGGATTCAGGGACCGTCGATTTTTTGACCAGCCATATGTACTACTATTGGATATATACGTGAGATGATGGTGGTATAGGAGGAAATGGTAGTATGTAGATAAGTGCCTTTACATGTACACACAGTATATACATACACACACACATATATATTACATATACTATGGTATCCCCCCAAAAACCTATGCTTCTAAAAGAATGCTGACTGCCGACGCTTCCACAGTTTGTAAGGTTTTGTAGGTATGTTAATTTCTATAGGGATTATTCCGGTCTGTTTTGGAAGTACTGTATTGTTGGGTTCCAAGGGGGTACCATTATGTCTAAATACACATGTATATATACTGTATACAAATATAATATATATAATATACATATGTATATGGTCACGCACCCCCCCATGATCTACCTTTAGCCTTTTCTACTGGTATTTACAGTATAGAACCTTTATTTTTCCTGTCCACATTCTGGGGTGTGTGTGACCTTATATATATATAGATAGATATAGATATATGTATGCAGCCTCTCAAGTCTTGAGTGCCCATTAAAAACAACAAAAACAGACCGGTTTTGAGACTTTAAAAGGATGGCTCCTTTGGAAAAAGTAAAAACACCTTGAACAAAAACAAACAAACAAACAAGAGAACACAATACTTTGAGACTCTTGCGGAGAGGACCCTAAGGAGAAAAGCAAAAAAAAAAACATCGGAAAAAAAAACAACACAAAACAATATTCTGAGACTCTTGCCTAGACCCCCCTATCCCCAAGACCTCTGGACTTTTTTTTATTGTTTTTTTTTTGCTTTTCTCCATGGGGTCCTCTCCAAAGAGTCTCAACATATTGTAGGATAGGTATCGTCACCGGAGGTGACTACCCTATCAGCGACTAGCCCATCCTGCGGGCGACTGGGCTAGATAGGATTCAGATGGGATAGACAGGAAAGAAAAGGGCATACAGGAACCATAGATAGGACAGACAGGATAGGTAGGAAAGATATATAATATAGAGAGAATAGGACAGGAAAGGACAGAGAGAAGGAAAGAAAAGGATAGGGTAGGATAGGATAGAATAGAAGGGAGCAGAATGAAAACGAACAGAACAGAATACAGATACGAAGAGAAATAGGTAAATAGATAGATCAGTAGGTAGATAGATCATTAGGTAGATAGATGGATAGATAGATACATAGATTGATTGATAGATAGGTAGATAGATAGATAAATAGATAGGTACATAGATGGATAGATAGATCGGTAGATCGGTAGAACCACAGAAAGACAGGTGCAAACAGAGATTGATAGATCAATCGACAGATCGACAGACCGAAAGAAAAAAGAAAGAACACACATAACATGCAAAACGACAAGAAAGGAACACGGCATAAAAGAAGCAACAAAGAAAACTGGATCGATAGATACGTTGATCCATAGGTTGATAGATTGACAGATCGACAGAAAAATTGACGGATATAGATATTATTATTGGCTAGCTAATGTTCATGGGATTGCGGGCGAAGTTTGCCCTGTACATTTCGGCAAGGCTGGATGCTTGCCCTCTGATCCAGTTTCTGAGTCAGGCGAGGGTCAGGGTTGTTTCAAAAAGAAACCTGTGTTTTCCATTGGTTATGAATGGGATTTGACAATCGTTGTTAAGGGTTTGAACCATGAAAAGTATGGGAATACAATTAAATGGCGGTTCGTTGATGATCGTAGCCCCGATACATGAGGGATTATCAGCATCCATTCCGGGAATCCCTTTTGACAAACTAGCACAATGGAAAGACGAAACAGATTGAACACTGCTCAAATTGGACCCCGAAATCCTCCAATTCAAACAACTCAGGGCCTAGTTGGAAGTTTAAAAATCAAGGGTTGGTGCATTGCCCATTGCTGTCGTTTTGGACCCCAATGCAGGTGGTGGAAGGTGCCATTTGTGAAGGCCGTTTGACTAGGTCTACTGGCAGATAACTGTTTCTTTTGAGATTTCCAATTCTTGTCAGTAAATCATATCCTTTGATAGTTGAATCCAAATTTTGATGGTTTAAACTAGTTTTAACTCCAATTCTTGGTGCTAGAACCATATAAATGTTGCAACTCAGACTCCCATCTTTGCAGTGGTTTTAACACGGCCTTCCGGCCTTCCTTCCGGGATGTTCCAAGGCAGGCAACTGCTATGACTTCCATACAACGCCCTGGGTGGCCTGCAATGTGATTCCTGGTGCCCAGGTGCCGCAACCACTTGCCCAGGTTCAGTGTTTTTGTTTGAACTGATATCCGAATACTGGAGAACATGGAGAAATTCAGTGAAATTCAGAAAATATCCAGTGAACTTGATGAAGTCAGCAAATTCACTAGATATTTTCTGAAGGATTTCGGCGACGTCGTTGTTTCAGGTCCGCAAGTGTTGCTACATGGCCCCAGTCCCAGAGGACGTACCAGGTTTTGCAAGGCGGGGTTGATGGGGTGATGGAGTATGGGGAACTGGGACCAACATGTGTTTTTTTCTTCTGGATGAAACAACACAACCTGAATGTTCTGAATGATTCCTGAAAATTGGATGGTTTATATATATATATATGTTCATATAATCTTCCTGCCTCAAATTTTGTTTGAAACTGTGACCCAGTCCCGACGGTGAAAGAGTGCAGCTCAGCCGTTGCATGTTTTTCGAGAATTTCAGGAGACACCAGATTATCATTTGGGTGTTGCTTGAGGCTTATTGAGGATGATCATATTTTCCTCCGAAAGTCCAATTCCTACCCGGTAGTGCAGGCCTATGGTATCCTACAGTCTTCAATTTCAGAGCTGTAGTAAATGATAGCGTTCAACACCGGTTGCAGGCGACTGCTGAACGTCCCAGACCAGCTAAGTGGATGCCTCAAATTTGGACAGCAGTCCCGGTAGCAGAGGTCAATAAACGGACATCGCCTTTCAAGCTTAGCAGTGCTGATGAAGAAGAATGAACAGAAGCAAGAAAGAACAAAGAATGAAAAGAAAGAAGATGGTCACTATGATGATTTACAAACAATTTACCCTCTGGTTATTTAACATAGCCATGGTTTTTCGATGGCCCTAATCGAAATAGATGGTTTACCGTTCTTAATAGCATCTGTAACAAATTATAAACAGACTCCAATCATTTGCGATGCATTGTGATGGTGTTTTGGGAACCTGAGGCTCCACGTCCGTGTGGCGTTTGGTGCGGGACCCTGAGGAGATGCGATTCGTGCAGCACAGCTATACCTCAGACGTGCTCTACGGGGACCGTTTCAAGGTGCGCCGGCACTGGTGGCGGCTGATGTGGCTGATTGGGATGGAATTCATATGATAGTATACAATATATATATAGTTACATACATATGACATGTTATATAATGTTTGTGGTGATGATGATGATGATGATGACGACGACGACGCCGACGCCGACGACGACGACGACGACGACGAGGATGATGATGATGATGATGATGATGATGATGATGATGATGATGCAGTAGCCCTATTTTGAATTCACAGTTGTCCTCTTGAAATTCCAATTTGATGAATTCCATCTGCCCTGCCAGGTACAATGCACGGTACGTTTTCGAGAACAAACTCAGGGTGTCGTGGTGGATCAATGGTGCGACATCGTGTGGGTCAACGGCTCAGCATAGCCCAGCGGTGTCCCAACGATGCATGATGCGTGTGGGCTGAGATATAGATTGGGTGAAAGCCCTATATGAGGGATAACGATTCCCTCCATGGAGCAACTCGCTGTGCCATTCGGATGGGGCTAACTACTAGGTGGATCGGGTAGTAAGAGCGTTCGCTTGTTTGAAGTCAAAATCATCACCGTTTTTTCTTTCTTTTGCCATCTTTGACTTGACTATAACTATGGCTCCAATTTAGTGATAGGTTTGAAATCCTTGACCCTTTGGTAATTTAACACGTCAGCTACGGAAAATGAGCAATTTATAGATAATTTACCTATTGAACTATGGTGATTTTCCGCAGCTATGTTAGTGTAGTAGTCACCGAAAAATGCCGAGGACAAACCGTTGCCTTGGACGCACGGCGTGGTGCGACTGCCCAGCGAAACGTTCCCGGAGTTCATGGTAAATCATATTGAATCTGGCGCAAACTTGTACAATCCTGATCTATCTTGTACATTCTTGTACTACTTCATGGTAAAATTGACAAATCATTTGGTTATGATGGTTAGTTTTTTTCAATAATGAATCCCATCGAATCATTTCATGACTTTGGTAAGTTCGTCATCCCATCCCCGAATGTTTTTCATGTAATTATTCACACCCCCCAGGACTGAGCACCCATTCCAATAGATTCCATACAAACTCCGGGGTCTAGGGAGGTATTTAATTAGGGGATGGGATTACTGATTGATGGTAAAATTGATCGCCTTTCTTTTTGTTTGATTGCTCAAAGTTTTCGGCCAAATCCTCCACAATATCAGACAATCATCAACAAGGCCCGAGGAAATGATGGACTGAAATATCCACCTTGCCCAGAAAATGATGGGCTTTCAGCTTCAGAAAGCTCCTCAACCTCCGGGAAATTGGGTGAGCTTCTGAGGTGCGACATTTCATCGAACATCGCGCACGCCATGATGCGATGGCCATGGGTGGTGACCTCGTACGGTGCATACAGGCGCTGGGGCAAGTGGTTGAACCATCGACTGTGATGGAGTGAGCAGTGTTCAAAACCCCTGTTGGTTGATGATTATAGGGGATTATAGTACCCTATACATATACATATTGATATTGGGGATTCCAATAATCCAATAGGGAAATCCGAACATGTCAATGTCTATGGGGACATTGATGATCAAGGTGTAAACATGATAAACTTTGGGATTTTGGTGTCAGTATTTTGAAACAAATCCAAGTGCTGTTGGGAAACAGCCAGTCTCTGCATTGCCATCCAAGAAGGCTTTCCACCTGGAACGGCAAGTCGCGAGGGTTTGTAGTACAAAATGCTTTGCTTCTGCGAAATCCCTCTTGTCACGGCTCACGTCCTCATTTTTCTGATACATTCAGGTTGTTTGTTTATCCTGGTCTTTGTTCGTAGTCATTGAACTCCATCCAATCCCTTTTTGGAAGCGCCATATCCATTTGCTCGCTTATTCATGATATATATATATATATGGGTTATACATATATATATATATACATACATATAATTAAGTGTATATATATATATACATACATATAATTATGTATATATATATATCATATCTGCATTTCTGCTTCATCCATTCCCGTGGTGTCCGGTATCGAATTCCATTCCAATGTCATCGCTCTGCCGGATAGTTACGACGATATGCGTATGGTACACAACAGAGTTGCCATCAGAGTTGTCATGGTAACTTTCGTAACGATGCCACAAAAGGATGCTATACATGGTTGCTATCCCATAGTTATCATAGTTACTATCAGGATGCTCGAGGCAATGTAGTTGCTATCCCACATCATTTGATAGTTGCTGTCCCATAGTTTTCATATCACTGTCTCTATGATATAATCTTGTTATCCCATGGTTTTCATAGTTATCCCGTTATCCCATGGTTTGAATATCCCATTTCTTGGAGGATCATCCCACTTTGCAACTGGAAAGGTAACCATAGATATAACTAATAACCCGCACATATACATATATATATACGTGGATATTAATATCATCATACTTATGGATGTCCCATTAACATTATCCCATAGTTATATATAATAGTTACACATCACATAGTTGTTTTTGATATCCGATACTTATGGATATGATTATGCCATAACAACTATCATTATCCCATATTTGTCGATATTCCATTATGTTTTTTTTTTAATGATTATACCATAAATATTAACATTAAATACCATTGAAATCATGGCATAAATATCATCATATACTATTATATCATAGTTATTACCATCAACTACAGTTATACAGACAATTACAAATACCACTATGTCATAGTCATGGATATCTATATCTCCTGATAGTATCATTTGCACACCACAACAGATAAGACATGATAAATCCTTAATGGCCATTTCAGGTACCTAAACTGGATGTACTGTACCATACAAAGCCACATTTTGGAGGTATATCCCCTTACACAGCCCTTACACAGATCTTATATATATATATGTGGTAGGTACCTCCAATTTAGGTTCCTGCAATGGCCACTGATATCCTGTTACATAGTTATTGCCAGTAAATACCACTATAAATACCATAAAGAACTTAGTGATCCCATTAGATATTGTTGCACACCATTGAAATTTCGGTATACACTGTTTTACAATTGTTTTTCATAGCCAACTATCCCTCTATATATATATTATCCCATATATATATACACATAATCCCATTTTATATTGTTACAGGTATTATACTCCATGAGCTTACGTTGTAAACATTCGTTATACCATTGGTATTGTATATTGTTACACGATATTATCACTGTACCTTGTATATGGTTACACACCAATTATCCCATATATATATAGATATAATCTCACGATATATATATAATATTGTTATATTTTTACTTTTATTATATTCCATAAAATTATATTGCAACCTTGGTTATACCATTGGTATGAAATATTGTTACACATCATTACCATTACCATTAGTAAGTGGTTTATAATCCGCATAGAATCCATATTTCATCCCAAATATAACAGAGGATATTCCATATACCCGGCGGAAGGGAAACCGCGCGAGCGTTTTGATTGGTTGCTTCCAGGAGAGTCACAATCACCTGTAATTTACAATATAAAATGCTCTTCCGATCAGTTTGTATAACTGAATTTGGGTTAAAAAAAGTGGATGCAAAATCTATTGATTTTTAACAAATCCAGGTATGAGTATTCCTCTGTAAACAATCCCAGAGATCTCAGCAGCGTAGCAACATGTTACGTAGTAAACGAACCCAGAGATCTCAGCAGCGTAGCAACATGTCACGTAGTAAACGATCCCAAGGATCTCAGCAGCGTAGCAACATGTCACGTAGTAAACGATCCCAAGGATCTCAGCAGCGTAGCAACATGTAACATAGTAAAAGATCCCAGAGATCTCAGCAGCGTAGCAACATGTCACGTAGTAAACGATCCCAAGGATTTCAGCAGCGTAGCAACATGTAACGTAGTAAAAGATCCCAGAGATCTCAGCAGCGTAGCAACATGTCACGTAGTAAACGATCCCAAGGATCTCAGCAGCGTAGCAACATGTCACGTAGTAAACGATCCCAGGATCTCAGCAGCGTAGCAACATAGTCACATAGTAAACGATCCCAGAGATCTTAGCAACATCGCAATATATCCTGTACGAAGTTTGAGGAACGTTAACATGCCCCCCCACCCCACCCCACCCCAACCCCAACCCACACTAACATGGCAATATATCATGTACGAAGTACAAGGAACGTTAACATGCCCCCCCACCCCACCCCAACCCCAAGACAAAGAGCAATACTCAAAAAAGAAGCAAAACGCACGTACGGTTTTCCTGCCGTAGGCATATACATATATACTATCCCATTATACACGGTTATGTTACATACCATAAACCATTATACACTCTTATATACTGTCATACTGTTACAATCTCTATATATATATATAACCCATATTTCATCCCATATATAATAGGGGATACATTCATCCCATATATAAGAGGGGATTTCTTACAACCCATATAGAACCCATATTCCATGTACCCTCTGGTAAACTTCTACATAACTATGGGAAATCACCTATTTTTTTTTTTTATGGGGGTAAATCAACGAATAAAAAAATGGTCATTTTCAATAGCTATGGTGACATAACCAGAGGGTAACTGGGGGAACAAGCCATAGCTATCTTTTGATGCCGCAGGATGCACTGGAGTCACAGGACCTGGCACTGGAGCACAGCGAGGTTAGCCGCGGAAGAACTGCTGGTGATTTTTAAAGCAACGGACTCAACAAACTACATGTGGGTTATATGGGAGTAAACCATCAAACGTTTTTTTTTCCTAAATAGATGGAACGTGTTTCATTCTGGATCGGTTTGAGGGAAATTTATGCAGGAAAAAAACAGATTTGATGGTAAAAACCGTGGTTACTGTGGAGTCTTCCTCACACCAATCCATTGAGAAATGTGGAAACAACAACGATTCGAAACTGGATCTTAACCGCAAAAAAGTGGGATTTGAAGGACCAAGACCAAACATGGAAATTGAGGATTTAACCAACAAAAAGTGATGATCTGACTATCATAAGGTGGAGTTGACGGCTGTTAAGTGGGAATATTTCTAATTTCAGTGGCTGCTGATTTGAAATTTACCCATTTTCAGTCTACCTGGGAGGTTGAAAACATCAGGGATGATAGAAAAGGGACTGATGAGTTCGCAACGGATGATTCGTTAGTGGTTTAAATCCAACAACAAATCATGCAGTATCTTATCCAGTATCTGATGGGCGGAGTATCTTCCAGCGTCTTTTTTTGTGGTTTCAGTGCAGGAATCACCTCAGCCATGGGTTTGGGGGAACGAACTTGCTGAGCAGCTCCAGCTGAGTTAGATCCAAACCAGTCCGTTGCACATGCCACAATGACCGAGGAATCTGGATTATGTCTAGTAGGAGGTGTTCAAAACCCTCCTTAAACAGACACATTTGAAAATGTCAGGGACTTCTGATCAAACTTTTTCTGCGAAAGGGATTCTGCGGATCTTTTCCCTTCATTCCTGCAGGATGTTTCCGGACCGGAAGCGATGTCCGAGGTGGGGGTTATGCTGGGGGTATGGAGCGAATTCCCCAGTTGGTTTATGGAGTGTCACCAAACTAAGAAAAATGACAGAAAATTCTGGCAGAATTCCGGCAGCTACCCCCTAAAAACAGGAACATCATTTTTGAGTACCAGACTTTTCGGTTTAGAAGGTCTAGCAGTCCTGCAAGATGAAGTGCTTGGGTTTGCAACCTCCACTATCTACTCATTTTACAGGTGGAACAATGTCACTAGACGATATTGGTATGCATAGGCAGAACAACTTTTTTGTTGGGCCATACCCAATTTTTTTCGCCCCTTCTGCTTCCATCTGCTAAAATAGATCACCACCAAACTTTCTTCGTCACTTTGGGACATAGAAACTGGCCAACCGTTGCAGGCTGTCATCCAATTGTAGGTGGTTGTGAGATTGATCTGCGGATTTGATGTTCCTAGTCCATCAGATTTTGTATGATCTTCCATTTTCCCTGTTTCCGCACATGTTTGTGCTTCAATCACAGTTTCTGCTAGTGAACTTATCCGTCTCAGCACTTCAAATCGGAATTGTTGGTGCATGGTTTCACCAAAATGTCACATATCAAAACGACCTCACTGTGACGTCACTGGAATGTAGTTGGTAAGGAGGTAACTATCCCAAAAGAGCCCTATTTCAGGTTAGTGAATTATGATAATTTATATATCCACTTAAACCCACTTAAATCCACTATACAGTCACAATCGCCATGTAAATCCACTGGTTTTTCTTGGTCAAAACACCACCTGGCTTCCCGTTGCGATGCGCACGTGGCTTCCAGGTGCTCAGTGGGGACGAGGTCTTTGGGCAGCCGGCGCCATCCCCTGAGGTCGGATCGCCCAGGAAATGGTTGAAGTTGATCAAGTTGATCATCATTTTTTTAGCCTAATGGAATGAATAGTTCATCAAGTTGATCATCAATTTTTCGGGATTGACTGTGATTAGATGATATATTATGATATTCTAATGATGATAACATTTAAATGAGTATGACATATGATGATTAAAAGGCAACTTTGGAGCAAAACTGTAATTTTTGGAGAAACCTGAGGTGTGAGCCATTGGGTGGTACAACTTGTGAGGTATTGTTGGGAATAGGATGAACCTAGAACTTTTGGGAGCACTATTGACAAACCCTGTTTTTGGGATCCAAATGGGAAAAAAACACTGGCATTTTTAACTCCCTGGAATTTTGACGTATTTTTCGACAAAAATTCGGTGATGATTGGAATCTGTGGGATTTTCAGTACTTGGGAAGCTACTCGGGAAGCTCATTGACATCCAGCCGTGACCATCCTCCAGGAGGCTCGCCGTCATCGTCTGTAACAACATGAAAGGCCCCTCCGGACGCGTCTGCGGTCAGTTCAAGATGTACTTCACCAGACTTCAGATGACTTCATTATCTTGATTCTTGGTTGTCTTTCTGTGTTTCTTCGTGGTTGCCCTTGGACAACACGATTTTGGATCCACTCAGGTTTCCAGTTGCACCCAGATTCAGCCATAGCGCCAAGCATTTTGAAATCGGACATGGTGAACGCTGCCAGGTTAGCCATTGTTTTCATCTAATTCGGACGTGATATCAGCACATCAGTTGATGGCCTGAGCATGATGAGCAGTAGTTCTCATTAGTGCATGGAGCAAAGCACGCAAGAGGCGTGAACATGTTTACCAAGTCTGACCCACTTTTCCTCCAACACGCTGGCTGAAGAAGCAGAGGAAAGATGCTGTTTTTTTGTCTCTTGATGTCCTTTGAACCTCTTCTGCCAAAAAAGTGGAGGAGACAAACACGTGGACAGCTGGTGAAAAAAGATTCTGCGACACTTTCGCAGGCTTGGGCAAAGTTGAAACTTTTCTATAGGTGGCTATACTATACACATGTGGAGGTTTCCTAAAATTGGGGATCCTAATTGCTGGATGGTTTATAATGGAAAAACCATCTATAAATGGATGATTTAGGGGTGTCCCTATGACTTAGGAAACCTCCACGTACACACCATCATCCTGCTGTGATGCTTCCAACATCACTTGTAAATGTCTAGAAAAATGGCCCAAGCCGCGCCCGTGCCCCGGTTGCCACAGCGTAGGTTTTTTCACTGCGCGTCTTGTTACATGAGCTGTATCACCACTGGGCACAGTACCAGTGCAAATGGCACACGGCATTTGTCTTACTGGTGCTTAGTAGGGAAAGGGGGAACAGGATGAATACTAGTGATTATGGAATATTATGGATCATTCCCCCCATTCCCGACTAAGCACCAGTAAGTTGTACAGCTCTATACCTGAGTAGTTGGGAAAAAGTCTGTACCTCTCTGCTAGGCCTCCATGTATCCCAGGGCATACTCCACCATTCTCCACCAAAACGATCAGACCGGCCCAGTGAAACTGACAGCAACAGAATTTCTGTTTGTTCCTTCTTGGGCTGTGATGGGCTGTGACTGATGACAATCCAACACCAATGGAACCACAACGAAAACCGTCATTTTCCGCCACCAATGATACGCTGAGGCGAGTCTGACAGCGCAGATTACGTGGATAGCAGAAATGATCCCTATGAGGCCATGGTTTTCCACCGCTGCATCGCCGTCAGGCGCTGTGCCGGTAGATTTAGACAAAAACAGCAGGCTTTGTGGGCAAGACAATGAGAACCCAATATGATCATATGATATAATATGACAATGGCACAGAATGGCGCCTTGAAAGAAAATATGGACGGCTCGAAAATTTCAGACCCTTTGTCAGATTTCGGTCATTCGATTTGTTTGATACCCAACCTGAACTTGTCCCAACATGTTTCGCTTGTTTTTTATGGCTCCCAAGTTTGTGCAAAGAACGGGATCTTTCTGGACCTTCATTCATGGGGGTGGGACTGGAAATTTGATGGAAGTACATAGTGGTGTCCTGAAAGACTGCAGCAACTCCAGAAATCATCAAATTTTCAGCATTCGGAGCCGTTTTTCAGCTTGGCTGTGCCAAGAGTCAGCTGTGACAGGGTGCCTACAATCGAAGAGAGCCAGGGGTCAGGTTCCCAGAGTTCCAATGGCCTGTCCACAATCTCATCCCATAGGGAAAGGGGATATGGGTGAATCATGATCACTATACACTATACGAAAAAATGAGGCACACCGAATAAGTGTGTCGAACAAATGAGGCACTCCGAAAGTTTGATGGGTAGGGTGACTTTCAACGTAGAAGGACTAGTGACTTTTGGTGTCCTGGCATCACTTTCTATCCAAAAAGTTCTCACCCTGTGGCCCGAGGGTTCAATGAACTGTCTACAGGCATCTTAGAGCAACTCCGAAGCATTCTGCACTGATGCTGGTTAATTGGCAGTCCACTGAGGGTCTGCAGTATATTGGAGGTACGTGATCAGGGATGAAATGGGATCAGGAAGTTGCCAGTTTTTGTGAAAGCTATCAGATGTATATAAATATCTATACATATCAATCTCTATATCTACACATCTATATCTATATCTATATATATATATTATATTATATTATATATATACACATAATGTATGTATATAGTCTAATCCATCTATCTAGCTATCTACCTATCCATCCATCCATCCATCCATCCATCTATCTATCTATCTATCGATCGATCGATCTATCTATCTATCTATCTACATCTACATCTCTATCTCTATCTCTATCTCTATCTCTATCTCTATCTATCTCTATCTATCTCTATCTACCTCTATCTATCTCTATCTATCTCTATCTACCTCTATCTATCTCTATCTATCTCTATCTCTATCTCTATCTCTATCTCTATCTCTATCTCTATCTATCTCTATCTATCTCTATCTATCTATCTATCTCTATCTATCTCTATCTATCTCTATCTATCTATCTCTATCTATCTCTATCTATCTATCTATCTCTATCTATCTATCTCTATCTATCTATCTCTATCTATCTATCTCTATCTATCTCTATCTATCTATCTCTATCTATCTCTATCTATCTCTATCTATCTCTTTCTATCTATCTCTATCTATCTATCTATCTACCTATCTATCTATCTACCTATCTATCTATCTATCTCTCTCTCTATCTATCTCTATCTATCTCTATCTATCTATCTATCTCTCTATCTATCTCTATCTATCTCTATCTATCTAAATCAATGTATGTATGTATCTATCTGTCTATTTATCTATCCTATCTAATCTAATCTAACCTGAGCTAACCTCAATCCTAATTTAATCTAATCTAATCTATCTATCTATATACATATATACATTACCGATAGACATATCAAGTATCAAGCGCTGATCTGTGAACTCAGCAGAGTTTCGGTTATGCTCCGGCGAACTGATCGCGCCAGTCGCGCCAGGAATTCCAACGGGTGGCTTGCCAGTTGGTGTGGCCTGGGGACCTGAGGTATCTCCGTGTCGAGGTATGCGGTGCCCAGGGTTGAAGCGTTTTTCCAGCATTTTTGGGAGGGCGAAATCAACAAGCTTCTGAATTCCTCCATTGTTGGATGCTGAAATGCTCACCTTCAGCCCGGGGGAAAATTATGGAAAATTGGCCGAGGTCGTTGGTATTGCCATAGCAGTCCTGATATTTGGCTTTGGCGTTGGCTTTTGCGCATGGGAACCCACCGGGACAGCGGCGTTGGGGAAGTTACTGGATGATGTTTTGAATATTCACAGGAAACACATGGTTTTGAACTATTCACAAATATGTTATATATAATTATATATGTTGTTCATTCTCTTGGCCATGAACTTTCCGCAAACGGGGAGCTTTCCTGGTTACTGGTCTCCGGATTGAGTCAACTGAGTCAACCATGCTCATGTCTTGGTGAGTTTGAAATCCCCCAAGAATTTTTCATAAAACAAGTCCTCAAAGAGAGATATATATATATATATTATAACATACATTGAGCCCGCTGTGCGGGTATCACCTTTCCACCCGCAGACGAAGATGAATTCTATATATATATATACATAAACATATCTTTATAAATAAGATAAACATCCCCCAAACTTTGACCTTTTGGGTAGTCAGAATTATGCAGTGACCAGCCTGGCATGGTACCCCAAGGACTTGTCTCGAAAAAACCACCCATGAATTGCAGGACATCAATGGTTAGTCACCCTCCATCGAAGCCCTTGCTTCAATCACCGAGATCTTCTACCGACGCAAGAAGGCCATCACGGAGTCGCGTCCTCGGAATTTTCTCCAAAGATTCCAGGGTGTTTTTTTACCATGTTTTTTTGAGTCAAATGAGGCAAAGTGTAGTAATGATGTCATTATGACAGACACCATTATTTGATTTACCATAATTATTTGGTGATTTACCACCATAAATGGACCAACTGGGGCTTTACAACGGCTGACCAGCCGAAACGTGTTGCAGGATCGGAGGCAGCGAACGCGTGGTGACAGCGGCAGGTACCGACGGGTGACTGTAGTCTTTCAATCATAAAATATGTGTTGCTGTTTGTTTAGGTACAATGTTGTGCAGTTGTAAGTTGGTTAAGTCATCTAACTATATATAGTATAGTTATAATATGTTATAATCACCACACTAGTGAATCTAGTCATAAACCAACTCAGCCCTAGAAGTCACGAACGGGGCACCAACTGGGAATTTTTGACGTAGCAACGGTGACCAACTGGGGACCCAATGACTCGACCATTGGGGGAATAAGCCTCCGACTTAATCCTGTGGACTTTTTGGGGTACTTCAGGGTCCCAGTTTTTTCACTTATAACTTAATATGAATGATTATTATATTGGTGATACTCATCATTATATAGTGGTATTTCAACTATATTCATGATTATTAGTGATGTGGTTAATATTCATATTAGGTGATACTATAATATGGTTTATCTGGTGAATGTATTGATAGATTATCACCATGAATCAGATGAATCATCATTCATTTGTAGCATTGGCCATGACTCGGCAGGTACCATCATCGGAAGTGGGGCCGCCAACCCTGGCAAGAAGGTGGAGGACGATGGAGTACCAGCAATGGCCAATCATTCACCTGAGGAGCCGGAAGAAAAAGGGGGGAAAACCATGGGAAAATCATGAAACATCATGAAGAACAACTCCTGAGTGTAATGGTTTCCTCCCCAAATTTTTTGAAGCAGCTCCCCCCAAAAACATGGTGGATGTATGATGAAGCATGGGATTTACACATCTTTGGGACCTTTAGGGGGGTGTCTATTATTAGTGGGATGGGATTCATTTGGATTCTGAGGTAGGCAGTGGGAGGTCTCCCCATCGGGGCTTGGCTCAAAAAAAACCTTGACCCTCATTTTGGGATGGTTAGATAGTGTTAGATATAATATAAGGGTTGTTGGTCATTATATCTAACCATATCTAACCATATCTAAGCACATCTAAGCATATCAAACCATCTTAGTATATGGCTATGGATCAATACCTATGAAAATACCATTAATATAGGGGGTTATTCACATCCATTTTAACCCAGCTATTTTGATGTGAACAGAAGGGGATTCCATGGGTTTTGACACACCAGGAGCTGGCCCGCAAGGCTCAGGACGCGGCCGGAATCCACCCACTGGAGATCACCAGCTGGTGTTTTTTTCTCATTTTCCTGAAGAATGGGACTGTTTTCTAGGGATTTCTAGGGAGATTCCCTAAAATTTAGGCCTAAAAAACAGGCCAAACAAATCAATGGGATTGGTAATGATTGGTACCTCCAAGAAAAATGGGTTCCTGAAATGTGCGTTGAAGAGAGACTGGTGAAAAACTGAAAAACTGCTAAACTCAGCTGGAAATATCCAATGGATGTGGTCGATTTTTTGCTTTTCCAGGAGCCATCCTTTTTACTTGACCCATTTCAGGGTGACTCGCCAGGACCCTTGGTGAGGCGGCCGTTCGGGAAGTTGTCTTAGGATCTGCGAAATTCATGCGCGGTTGGATGCGCATTTTCATGGTATCTCCGTGTCTTCCACATAGCTGGCATAGCTGTCCACTGAGCCTGCTCTTCAGCAGGCGGCTTGCGCATAGCTGACAGTTTTCGGGGCATGGACGGAGACTCCTCAATGCTCTACTTTTCATCAGCTGCAAGTGTTTGTGGCAAACCCGGTTCGAACATTTGAGATCTGGGAGATGTTTGCCGGAGGCAAGAGGCTTGCCCTGACTTGTGTGTCGAGGCCTTTGCCAGCATCAACAGCATTTGGAGACGTTTGGATGTATGACAGAGTGTTGAAAATTTCTGTGTGCTTCTTGGTTCTCTGATTGTCCGTGCTGCAGACAATCTTCCCAAATCCTCAATCCATAGCTCCCCAGCTTCAACAGCCAACGCCAGTTGCGCTTTTTTGTCCGTCAAGTGTCGCCCAGCGCTGACACGTCTCCAGCCCAAAGGGACGAGACATAGCCCAACCGCAGGCCCCGGCAGGCCCAGGCATAGCCAGACAGATGGCGGTGCTGTGAAGCCCTCTAGAAATCCCCAAAAACTGGCCAAGGAGGTTTGAATTTCACGGGAAAATCATCGAAGTGAATGGGGGAGTACCTGAGTACCAGCTGAGTATATTCTAAACAAGGTCAACTAGGTTCGCAAGCACCAACAGGCTTGGGGCACTGTGGCTTGAAACTTGCTTTGCCATACCACATGTGCAGGGGTGAAAAGGAGCAGATGGAGTCACATGGTCAAGTTATATGGTTTTCCCATAAAGGGGAATGGTCACGTGCCCGTTCATATGGATTTGTATATATATATACATTGTAAGGATTCCCACTATCGGATGGTTACCATATTCATCATATTTCATCATCATCTAGGTAACTTGACCTTGGCACATGTGTTTTCCCCTTGGGATAAAACAAAATCATGTAGTCCCAAACTTGAAAGCTGGTGGGCCCCAAATCTAGTTTAAGGCCCAGCAAGTCTTGCAGATGACCAGGTCCATACCCAGATGGCACCCCTGCCGTCCCAAGATTTACCAACTCAAATGGGAGTGAAATGGTCGAATCGGGATGGGAAACATCTTCATTTTGAGTTGGTCAACTCCGGCCGAATCGTGATGGGATTCTCCTCACTGGATAATCCTTGACTAGTTCAATGCTGAGAAATTCTTAGCCATAAAATCAATCGTGACATCAGTAGAGTAATCAGCTACGAATCAGTCAGGGCATCTACAATTTGCCCATATTTGCCGTGGGTTTTGATGGGTTTTGGTCGCCAACGAAGAACTTTATTCCACCAGGTACAGCGATATCCAGCTGATCCGCCAGCCTTTCCCTTTGGGAACGAGCTGGGCTCGGAATGCCAGGCAGCAAAAGGGCGATACCACGGGAGGGGACACAAAAAATATGGAGGTTTCCATAAATCGAGGTACCCCAAAATGGATAGAAACTCATGGCGAAGTTTTTTTTTGGTGCTTTATTTCCTTATAATATTCTCGTGATTGAAAACTTTTGGGACAGTACAATGACACCCCTCACTGGCAATTCAGGAATGCCCAGAACCCCTGTTGGTTGACGGTTATACTGGCTTATCTAAAACAGGGTACCCCACTTTTTTCAGAGATATGCATCATATCATGTTCATTCATTTTCTCATTAAACATAGCTATTTTTGTGGCTATCCACCGTAGATCGTGGCTATCTACGCTCCAGGCCGAGCACTTGACGAAAGTGATTCGGTGGACTGAGTCGGGCCGTGTGCATCGTTCTGTGATAGAAGCAGTTCGCCCGGTATCGAAGCCATGAGATTCGAAGAGTGCCTGTAAGACTGGTTGTTTCCATAGTCATAGGGGTACCCGAAGAGTTGGATGGTAGCGAAAAATCATGAAAAATCCCATCAAAATGGATGATTTGGAAGGTACCCCCCTATTTTAGGAAACTTTCATAATGTGGGGTTGATGATTATAGATATGCATATCTTGGGGATTAACACAATCCATCAACTGGAATCCCTACGAATTCCCAACACTGGAGCGAAATCATCCACTTCCAGAGTCACTTTTGCTGGCCAACTCTGCCACAGAGTGGTGCGCACGTCCTGCTTAGTCATGTCAACATGGCTCCGAAGTCTTGAGAATATTTCCATTGCCCTCTCTATGGGCGTCTTTCGAAATTGGAGAACCCATCAGTTTGCGAATACTCTTTGTTTACCATACTGCTGAAGTTCTGAAGGACCCTGCACTACCATTGGATCACTTCCAGAGGGCTCCTCTGGTGTTTTCGAGAGACGCCTGGTACCGCGCCGGCCACGAAGTGAACTCCTGTGGGGTGGGTGCCTCAAAAGAGACAAGGGATTCTCCGGCAGCTGCTGGAATTCGATGGATTCCTTGGCTACTCTTGGTGGCGCTGTTCGCCCTGTCAGGGGTTTCAAAAATTGGCCTGGGCGACAGAGAAAACAACACCTTGCGAAGGCAAGGGCAATTCTTTGTGTGCTCACTGAAAGCCTGAAATACTGAAGACATGGAGTTTTTTCCGGACCAGTGAGCAAAGATTCTCTTCACAGTGCTCCTAGAGACATGAAATCGTGCCGAGGTTTTGTCTCTTTGGTTCATCCCAAAAGGTGCTTCGCAAAAGCTTCATCCCGACTTGGCAGCGTCGTGTCTCTCTCAGCGCTGAAAGCTAACCAGTTTTGGGCCGTGCAGAGCTTGTTGCTCTTAAAGACACACAGCTTTGCACTTTGGCCGCTGAAAAAGGTCTGTTTTGTCACCTGATGCTCAATGCGCTACGGAGAGAGAGAAAGTTTGGGTTTATACAGAAATGATCTTGATTTGTCAGATACTAAAATGCATGTTACACATGTATACTATTTTATGCCGTTCAGAGTGCCGGAAAACAGGCCATAACCTGCCAGATCTCGCCATTTCCTGGTCGATGGAAAGTTCGAAACACCGGAAACACCGTCGCCCGAAGTGGCGGAAACTGAACGAGGATCTGCCCTGGCCGCGTCGCATTGTCGCAGCGACGAAATCGGCCAGTTTTGAAATTTCCGTTTTGTTAACGGCCGCGGCTTGGCGTCGGGGGAGGGTAAAACTTGGCCCTGTGGCCCCTGGTTTTGAGTGTCAGCGCAGCCATTTCGCTGACAGTTGGGCATTGGGAAACCGGATCCATTGATCTGATGGGAACCTCTGGAGCTTCTGGGAAAAGGTAACCGGTAACCGCAATGATGGAGGTGTTTGGGGGCCAAATGTTGGTGAGTCTATGATAAGCGAAAGTATCATGGTTTAAGGGCCCTCACGATTTTTGGACAGCAGACCTTTAAGAGGTTGCTTTCGACCTCGACCCCAACTACTTGGCTCTTAAACATGCTGACGTAAAATGCCAGGACAGAATGCCCAACTGGCACACAATAGCATCCCTATGGGGATGGCTGTCGCAAAGAAGTGACACTTGGGGGTTTGGTCGTTTGGTTGGTCTAGAAAGTGCAAGTGAAGTGGTAGACAACTGCAGCAGTTGGGAGCCGTGGGTGATGTTATCTCTTCGCTCATCCAGCATTGGGAGTATGGAAATGATCAAGATAGCGAAGAGGGGTTGCGGGCCCCAAATTCGTGTACCGCAAAGAACGCACCTTGTATGAGCTGTTTACAAGATAGACAATGCTGCTGTAAAACCATGGCAAACATTGATAGATTTGTCCAAGATGTCCAAGACATTGTCACAGAATCTACTGTAGATCGGATGGAATGAGCCTAGATATAGAGCCCAACGTTGGGTTCCGAAGGCCACGTCAGCCCTATCATCCTGCCATGGAAAAGGTCCTTAAAGATCCTTAAAGGAGATAAGTGCTACAGAATCCATCAGCACAAGGGTGATCTTGAAGGCTCAACCAAGGCCCATTTGACCCATGAAGTCACACATTTCTTTTGCGACAGGCGCAAAAGCCGCTGGTTATCCGTAGGATTTGCAGGTGACTCCCTGCAATCTCTGCGACTGCAAACACGTCCCAGCGATTTAAAGATCACTCACTCACGAAAACGTGAGCGCGAGGCGCGAGCGTGGGAAGTCAAAAGAGGCTCGTCGAATTCTGAGGGGGCTGCCTCGTGTCTCCAGAATCAGCAGATATCTCTGACATGGATCGTGGCAACTTGACCTCCTGACCTGAGAGGGCCTGCCTCGTGCCTCCAGATTCAGCCGGTATCACATGTTTGGATCAAGCCGCACACAAACCTCATGGAGACATGAGCCGCAAGAAAGATGAGCTGCAGGGGAATTTTTGCCACACAAATCCGTTCATTTCTTCTGATTCCTTCAAACCTCAGCATACCTCAGCCAATTTTTCAGAGGCCATGGCACTTTTTCCGGTGACTCGTGACCTTGGCCCAGTGCTGCTGCTGGCGCTGACCGCGTTTCTCTGGAAGAAGCATTTCTATATGCGCGGCTTGACCTACCGAAGAACGGTGGTCCCAGTGGCCCGCGAACGCCTACTGAAATCCATCTTCTACCTGGGATTTCTGGGTACTTTGGATACTGTCCTCCGCCGTTCCGGCCAAGTGCTCTCAACAATTTTGCCCAAAGCCCTAGCTCAGCTGTTGCCCTCCGAAATGGTGGGCTTCCTGTTGCGCCTTTGTTTGTTGCACCTGCCTTGGGCCCTTTGGGCCTACCGCGGTCCCTTGAGTGAGAAGGGCTCCACCCGTGATGACCGCGGTTGGTCGGACGCCGTGACGCGCTCCGCGCTCTGGCGCAACATGGCGAAGTGCTTCGGGACGCGCATCGTGCTGTCGGAGGAGTGGAGACAGCTCAGTGAGGAGCAGAGACGACGATGGTTTGATCGGCACTACGTCAGGGGCTCTGAGGTTCGAGATAGAAAAATCCATGGAACACATAAGGAACGCATAAGGAACACATGGAATAATCAATATATATATATATGTATAGTCAATCATGTCACGGGTAGAAGAGTGCCTAGGTCATCGCCATGCATCCCCATGGGCTTCTGCCACTTGGGGCGATCCTCAACGGCCTAACCTGGGATGCTTGGAAGCTTTTGATGTATTTTTTGTGGGATTTGTGGGGGATTTCTGGGGGATTCCTATTTTCAGAGAAAGCCAGATTCATAAAAACAGCAACCGAGCCGAGGCCGGTGGAGGCTTGAAGGGAATCACTGCCTCTGGAGCTGAACTCCCTGAACCTGAGAATGGTGGCAAGCTGCTGCATCAACGATGGTTCAGGCACGGTTTTTTCGGCAGTGGTGAGATGCAGTGAGACGTTGTGAGACTACACTTAGTTGATGGGCTAATATCATTATAAGGAGTTATACTAACTGAATTATTGGGGGGGTATTTGAACTGTTTGTAATACTAGGGATACCTATTCACCGACCAGTTTCTGCAGCATCAGGAACATTTCAACTTTATGGGCTTTCAAGTTTGAAGTTGAGTGGGTCCTGGGCAGCTATAGAGTTGGGGAATATTTTATATTCTTTTATAATACCTTTCCCCCGTGAAAAACATGCCATTTTCGGGGCCCATCTGCGGACAAGGCACATGAAATTGCGTGCTGCTGTCGCGTTGGATCCTGAGCTTTCAGAAAGGGCACCAGGACGCACCAGGTTTATCCGAAGATGTGTTTCTCCAAATATATGGGTATGGATCAATACCTATGAAAATACCATTTTTAGGGGGATGAACATCCATAAATCCCAGCTATTTTGATGTGAACTACAGGGGTACTATTGGTTTTGACACACTGCCATATGGCACTTTGAATAGGGGAAATGCTGATCAACGATCTGAATTTGGGGGTAGTCAGCTAGTTTCAGACAAAGCCAGAAATTTCCGCACCAAGATTCAAGCACTTGTTGTGCTGCATCTCGGAATCGTGTTCAACATGCAAAAGGTGCCGAAACGGAACGCTGCAAGAGTTTGGCGGAGGTGGATGTGCGCCTTGCTGAGGTCTGGAGCATGTGGTCTTTTTCCGGGCTTCTATGAGATGTTCACCACTTTAGGCGTGGCTGACCGCCACGAAATTGTCCATCAAACCTGGATATTTTTGGATTCGCAGGGATTCTGACTCCTGAACAAATCTGTTCAATCATCATCAATTTATGACTTTTTACGGATCTTTGGGTTCCAAACGATTTTAAGACACACATCAACATTTTTTTTACACTCAGTATTTTGACCCACAAATCAATTCCTAACTGGTTATCTATCAACCCCAACGCCCCAACCACCCAGAAATTGCTGCAGGCTTTGGCGGCACAGTTCGTCTAGGAACACTGAAAGACCATTGTGTGGACCAAGTTGTCCTATTCGCGCACCTGCATCTTCTTTCTTCTCACTCTTTCTCTCTCTGATGTTCTCTCTTCTGCTCTTCTCCTCTCTGGCTCTTCCCACCTCTGCTTTTCCATCTGTCCATATTGTCAGAAGTTTGACTTCTAAACTTCCGTCGATCATCCACTCACTAAAGTGACCTTTTGTTTGTGACACTGGACGCGCTGGCGCCAGGTGCCTTTGAATGTACCAAGCCCTTCATCCGCGACGTGCTGCGGCAGCAGAAGGACGTGGCCATCTTCGTGGGCGGCGCGCAGGACGACGATGGTGACGATGGATCGGGTAATGGGGGACCCCATAGTCATGGGGGTAATGGTTTATATATGGACAATCCTTTGAAAATCCCTTTGATATGCTTGGAGTGTGTAACATGGAAAATCCATAGATGGATGAAGAGGGGTAGCCCTATTACTTAGGAAACCTCCATATATCGTAGTATCGTGGATGGTTTTTTAGGTTCACCCAATTAATAATATTGCTTGATATGGCTATATATTGCAGTATCTCATGAATGAGATTGAATTCAAAATAGGTTGAGCCCAATTAGCTATGCATCGACCGGGATATTTTTGTGGCTCAATCATCCCGATTGAAGTATCCATCGGGGTGGCAAACATAAACATCCCAAGGAATCTTCCAGCTGATGGTGTGTTTTTAATGACAAGCAGGAGAGCTGTTATGCTACTCCTGGACGATATGTTTGCTTTGTGAGTGCTCACAAAGGCATGGAAAAAACTCGGGAAGATCGACCGGGCAAAGCATGGGTTTCCCGAGCTGGAAGTGCCAAAACACATGCCAAGTTGCAAAATTTACATCACAATTTCATTTGAACAGTGTTCAACACCCTGGTTGGTTGATGATTATAAATTATACTTATACCTCTGGGAAGTTATCCAATAGATGGGGGATTATCATCATCCAACTGCGAAATCCGTTCTTAACCAAGTCGAATAGCATCAGTTCGACCCATCCCAGCATGATTCTTGTGGGGCCATGGGTCTGTCGAGTTGTCGTGCAGGTTTTGTGCGCTTGGCCCTCGAAGAACACCGAGACATCCTTCCCATGTGACCCGGTGTCCAGTGGAACTGGGAGTCTTTTGGTCCATAGAACTGATAGGTGACCTATTGCACAGTATATAAATTGTGAATGTATATTACATATAATATGTCATATTGTGTCAATATAGTTCAGTTTAATATACATTTTTTGGGCATGACTTACTTGTTATCTTGTGATGAAGGCATAGCGCTTGAAACTTGTCTTCATCAAGGTTTGCAGAACTGAAACCCGCAGGCTGTGCAGGGCAAAACAACCGTATTCGACCCCTAACACATCTGTGTTTGTAGAGTGATTCACATCTCTTCTACTTGGATAAATGCAATATCACTCGTTTACATGGCTTTCCTGTTTAGGTAGTATCCAAATTATCCAAATATGGGTTATATCAAACCGTGAACATCAAATATGGGTAGCACCAATCCAATGGTCCAACATGCTCAATTTTTTGGACTTCTTGGACATCCCGGGTGCCAAGAGAGGACAAGTACCAAGTTTTGGCGCCAATTCCGATTCTTTTTGACTATTGCAGCGAAAACAATCAACTATGGCCCAAGATCGAACTTTATAGTAGCCCTCGAAAAGATGCAGAAAAGTAGGATTTACATCCATTTACTGTACTGGTTATACCAATATCTTGGATTTTTTTTTGGTTCATTGATACGTTGATCTCAGAATAGTGGTGCCTAGGATTCATTTACATAATTTTGCATCCATAGGCAAGTATCATTCACATCCATTTACTATTTGCCATTATTACCACAATTTCTATCCATTTATTTACATAATTTACTTCCATTTACATCCATTTCAAATCCATCTACCTATAAATTCTAAGTCAACACTAGTGATAACATACATCCATTTACCATGCTTTTACCATCAATTTACCATCCGTCTACTTAATAGGCGAACAGTAATTCTCATCTTTTTACCATCCATTTGCCATCCTTTTTAGACGTAGCCTTCACATCATTTTCTATTCATTACCATCCGTTTCCCATCCATTTACCATTCATTCTACATAAAATCAGAGCATTCCTATTTTCCAATGTTCATAGGATTTATATAAAATATATTGGATTACACAATGGTTATATATATATATATTTGGTATGAACATTGGTAAATAGTAAATATGGTGATCTTGCAATGAACATTTATCCAATAAAAAATACCCACTATATTCTTGGTGTCATATCCTTTATATATGCTTAGTGTTTATGATATTTACATTATCCAATATATAGAATATATAACACTACACTATCCAATAATCCAATAACATTATCCTTTATATATTCACCAGTTGTGTCACCTTAGTGTCATCAATGTTTTTCAGGTGGACCTTTGGAGATGAATCCATCATGCCGCAGATGCTCAAGCCGTTGGATCCCCATTTCTCTTGGTTTTTTCTGGAAAACATCCTGTGGGTCAGGTCAGGTCAATGATTGAACTGGAGATTTTTCTGGATATTTTTGTTTAAAGGTTTGGAATTCCACTTTTTTTCGGGCTGTTTTTGGGCTTGCTATGGATTATTCATGAGAAATCTATACTCAATAGATTATGATGGGATTATTGATACCCGCAATTGGTTACATAGCGAACTGGAAGCCATGGCCCATAGCCAGTTCGATGATTTACCACAATTTTAATGATGATTTTCCACAGCAAACCGTTAAATTACCAGACCTTTATTTGAATCGATAGCCACTATGGGTAGTATGGGTTTCTAGTGCTAAATCTCTCAAGATAAACCGCTCGATTTTTACATCGTTACCGTGTCCATGATTTTATCGAATTGTGATGGTTTTGGGGAAATGATTGGGAGCTACTGTAAGTAATGTGATCAGCGTGAACAGAAATGGGTGGTGTAAACATATCCGAAATCAAAGTGTGGATCAGGATGTGATTAACACCATCAAGGGTTCCAACATGTTCCAATAATGGGAACATTGGTTTGTCAAAAAAAGGAGGATGACCCAAATCCAATGGTTTAGTCAATGAGATTAATTATGGATAGTATATTATGGTTTCTTTAGATTTTAGTCAATTATTGACTAACCAAAACATTTTTCCCCAGCCATCTCGGCTGGGTCAATGCTCATAGTCACCCAGATCAATCCTGGATCTTGAGAGCTGAGGCCTGCCTGGCTAACAGCCTTGCAAACATACTTCAAGAGTATCACTGGCCTGCTGGTGCTGTCCTCATCTGAAAAAAAAACTAGGAAAAAACGCCTTTGTTGGCCTTTTAAAGATCGACTGTGGCTTTTCCATGGGATTTTTCTGAGTCTTGTTTTTTCTGACCTGGACGCGAAGCTGCTTGGATGTGCACTGTGTTGGAAAAAAAACACCAGTTATTAACGTGAAAAACCGCAGTTGAGGGACTGAGTAACTCGGGTCACTAAACACTTCCTGGGACATCCAGAACTGCCGCCAGTTTTGGTTTCCTGAAATCGCCAATTCCTAGGTGCCTCCGGGCTTTTCTGGGCTGCCCCGCTTTGTTCCGCTGACGTTGGTCACAGGCCAGGTTTCCTATGTTCAGCAGATGTGTCTTCTCCATGCTTCGTCTGTTGGAACGCCCTGCCAGGTGTTCCCGTCTCATTGGAAGACCTTTGGCCAGCCAAACTGGGAGATGCTGTCACGGATGCAGCGGTGGAGGAGGTCGGCACTTGCGGGTACCCCCAAAATTCCCGGTTAAAGTGGCCATGTCTTGGAATGTTTTGGGGGTAAATCCCTCTTTTGGGACGCGCCCAAATTTGGTTGGGTATTTTGAGGTTATAGTTGGAGCCCGACTGAAAGATAGCCGTGGCATTTTGTGGCATTTTGGTGGCAATAACGTTCAAGCACCAGTTGCATATCCAGTCAATGCGTTCAGCAGGCACGCGCGCAGGTGATATTCGATGGATCATGTAAGGTTACAGGGATCATGGTAGGTCAGTAGAATAAGTTGTGAACTTAATGCACGCGAATCAGGTTACGTCATCAGAAGGGTTGCTATTTTATGTGCAACCCGCTCTTGATGCTACGCCCTCAACCTTCTTAAGCAACTTGCAACGCGCTCTTGATGCTACGCGCTCAACCTTCTTAAGCAAACATTTATTCCCAGTAGTTTTCCACGACGCCTGTATCATGGAATCAAAACACAAGAACATCCAGAACTTTGTAAGTTCCTTTACGGATACTGTTGGCGACTGACACTTGAGGAACTTCTGAAAGAAGTCTGCAAAGCAGTGAAGGCATGCAAATGCTTCTGAGACGAGGGGAAAAAGTGCTTCAGCAACCCCAAGCGAAGAAACGAAATGCAACAAAAAGTAGCTTTCCAATTTTACAAAAGGCTGTTTTTTTCAGACAACAACTTGAAAAGTGATGTTTCGCTGTCGCGAAAACAACATTTTCGCGTTGACCTGATGCTCACGAAACCGCACGGCTGTGCCAGGGACATCGCCGCTACATCCAGGCTGTGTGGATCTGGAATGGGGATACTCAAACCATTTAAATTGTGCCTACAAGAAGTTATAGTGATGCCAAAAAAGATAGAAAACCAATGAAAAGTAATTATCAATAATAATAATAATCCATAAAAATAGTGCCAAATTATGGTTCGACTTTTTTGCGGGTGACTGAGTCATGATCAGAGGCGCAGCAGAAACTTTTCGATAGCAACAAGGCGTGGTGGGTGACCTGGCGTTTCTTAAAGTGGGGGAATCCTCAAGTCACCATGGGTTTCAATATTAAAAATGATCTACCCTCTGGTAAACTAACATAACTATGGAAAATCACCATTTTAAATGGGTAAATCCACTATAAATGGCCATTTTCAATAGCTATGTTAAATTACCAGAGGGTAATTTGAATGATTTGGGAGTGCCACCATTTTAGGGAAACCTCCAACTAGAGATGCCACGGAATTTTCGGCTGCACATCACCTTTGTCCAGGCCCTGGTGGCAGGTGACCACAAGAACGCGGTCATCGAATTCTTGTAAAAAAGAGCCATGGCTGGACGGTCGGGCTGACTTGATGGACTTGGGGAAGTTGTTTTTTTCGTTTTGTTTTTTTTTCTGGAAAAACAACATGAAAAAACCGTTGGGCTGAACAGATTTTTGAATGACGGGCTTTTGTTCTCCCGCCGCAGCCATACGGATTGATTGAATGAGATGCCACTGACGCTGCAAACCGCTAGTGATTTGGGAGGGTTGGACGTTTGATGGACTGGACGAGGGTTTTGTGGACAAACATGGCTCAGGAAAATAGTGGGAGTGTTATGGCTGTTTTCACGAGAATTACCCTTTATGTCCAGAACTGTTGAGATGATGATGCCAGAATGCAATCATGGGGCGCGATGAGAGAGATAGTTTGTAATCTTCTGTTCATAAAAATCAGAAACCAAGGGGAGAACCTGCCGCTCTGAGATGGGTTTCAAACCCACTTCTTGATTCCTTGCCATTCTTTTTGGGTAAGAGGGCATGGCTTTCCCATTCTGCCTCAGTTAGAAGGGAAAACAACTACATGAAGCAATGGATTTACCAACCAAACAGCCCGGAATTCTCTCTCGGACACACACACATGTATATATATATATATATATCTACCTACCTACATCTTTTCCCATCTATTGTTGATTCATCAACTATGAATATTGGCTTTGCTGACCCACCAATGTGATGATTGGCCGCAATTTTGGGCTCGTTTTTTAGCTCCTTGGCATCTGCTCAAAGCGATTGCCTCAGATGTGGAGGGTGATGATATCCTTAATGGATTGATTTGACAATTTTCACGAAGCCACGGTTTTGTGGTTGAGTGGGCATATTCACTTCAAACAATTGCATCTCAGAAAAACTGTGATATTTCAGCAACAATCATGGGAATGGGATGGGTATTTGCATGATCGGGAACTTCCATAATCTGCAAGTCCATGATACAATGAAGTAATTGAGCAATCCATTTTTTTTTTAGCATCCCCAAGTTTTTGGGGTGGACCAGGTAGCCAAGAGCCATCCTTCAACAGTTGCAACCGGGCTTTTGCGCTATTGACATCTATGGACTATGCAAAATATTTTACTGTATTTTATTTGTATTCTAAAATCAGTATTTCACATCCAGATAGATATATATATATATATGAACCTATTGACATAGATCGTCTAAGGATGTCTAAGGTTAAAAAACTCTATAGATAAAATAGTATGTACACTATGTATATATATATAAACGATCAAAAACACACATCACACATCTTACACTCAGATCGCAACCAGGCGCAGATGGCCGGCTCTGCGCAGCCTGGTGCTCTCCTTAGCGGCCGCTTCACGGCGTGGCGAAACCGAAGCAGATTTTCTCGGATTTCTTAGTGATTTAACTAGCAGACATGGTGATTTAACGGTGATTGAATGGTAAAAAAATGGGATAACAATAGGATTCAGTCGGATTGGGATTTAACCAACACAGGGTGAATTTCTTGGGATAGTGGAGACAAAGGGAGGTTTAACTAAGGACAAGTGGGATTTTGTCGGGGATTTACCCTCTGGTTGGGTTACCTAGTAGTACCTTTGGTAGAAAGACACATGGCACATTTCATGGGGATGATGATAAACCAGCGATTTTTTTTTTGATTTACCTTCTGGCAACAATCAAACATGGCAACGGAAAATCAGCGACTTGTAGATGATTTTCCCAGCTAGAAACCTCCATCTGTAAGGGATTTCCCAGCTAGCCACGTTTGATTACTGGAGGGTAACCAGTAATCTGTGGGAATTGGGGCTTTTCCCCTAGATTTTCAGACAAATCCACATATATCAAGCTGGTTACCCTCTGGTAATTTCTTACATAGCTATTGAACATGGCCCAGTCAAAATAGTTGATTTTACTTGTAGCTGCTGATCTTCCCATAGTTTTTTGTATGTTTACCAGAGGGTATGGGCCCCATTCGCTCAGGGTACCGGCACGATGGTTCCACGGCAACGTCCACGGCCACGTCCGGCCAAAGAATAAGGCCCGGTGCCTCGTGTGTTGTCGAGCTGAGCTGGGAAGGCTTTTTGAGGATCTAAAGTGATTCGGCTTTGTTTGAAAAATCTAGTACCCACAGAATTTGATGGTGTTTTTATATGTTTTTATGGTTCTCCCGAGAGTTTGAGGGCAAAAAATGGGCGGTACTACCAGATTTTCAGACGCACACCTATTATATCTCATTTTGTTGGTTGTATGTGCTTGTATCAAGTTGTATCCCATGGAATATCCCAGTATATTCCTATGATAGTGCTGAAATCTATCCCCATATATCCCCATAATATCCCAATGTTTGATGGTTCTCCCCAGGAATTGTCACACCTTGAGTCACACCTTGAGGCCAGTCGGGCTTCAGGCGCGGATGATTTCATCAAGAATTGAGGTCCCCGAAACGACGTGATGTTTGTTGGTTTATAAACTCCCTGAACTCAAACGTAACCCATAAAACCCAAACGGTCAAGCAAAAAAAAACGTCAACTTAGCTGTGACCTCACTTTCTACGGATATCAGTAGGCTGTATTTGGATTAATTGTTGCTTCCCAACTGGGATGCACATAGAAATTGATCCCACCATTTACCCTACAACGACAATGATACCAATATCCAGGAACTGTGACACTCGCTCTTGTTGGTTTCCATCGACCATTCGCTCTCTCTTCCTTACGGGAATCAGGAATTCAGAGCACGCAAGGAACCCCAAAGATGCGATTCGTGTCTACTAGTCCGTAGCGTTGATATTAGCGTTGATGGTAAATCATTGTGTTGGTCATGTATCAAGTACGTCCCACTCTTGTTCATTATTGGTGACATCAAAACCCATGGTCTTCCCATTATTGGTGACCTGTTGATTCCTGGTCATTCAACGTCAAGGTGAAATGACTCACAGCGGATTACCCGTTTTTGTACTTGCTATGCAATCAACTGTCCATGTCATCACTGCACCCAGTTATATCAAGTTGACTATCCATCCCCTAAATCTTCCCCCCCAAAAATATCCCACGGGTCCCATACAGTCGGTTGGTCACCGCCATAAGTTGGTTAAACCGAAATATCAACAGATATTGGGGTTAAGTGATATAAACCTAGTGAAATTGGAGTTATATCCATTATCCTAGTGATATTGGTGCCTGATTTCACCAACTACGATGTAAAGCCTAGTGAAATTGGAGTTATTTGGCCCAACTTATTCCAAGGGATCACCTCACCTGGAAGGAGATCAGTTTCGTCCAGGTACCAGGCCTCGATAGTACGCGAAACGATGCCGTCAGCGACCGTCAGATGTCAGGGTCACCCAGAGGGCAACGCCAAACGCTGCCGAAACGCTGTCGTATCACCAAGGAAAACCATCATGGTCCCTGGAGCCCAAGTTTAGTCCCAGCATCATCCCAAGTTCCCAAGTTTTGAGTTTATCCAAGTATATCCAAGTTGTGTTTTACTTGAAGTTTTTCTGGATCCCAAGTTTTTTCTCCAAGTTTTTCCCAACTTTCCCAAGTTCCCTGATTTTTTACCAACGATTTGTCCGCAGCGCGCTCGGCGCGCAGGCTCCTCTTGGCGGAATTGATCGACGCTGAGTGGATGACCTCGGTGGATTGAGGATTTGAAACCGGGGGAAGATCTCATATTAGGGGGCATATATACAATATATATATATATAACGTATATTAAATTATTAAACTATATCTGTTTACATATGTGTGTATATATATAACGTATATACACCATATATATGTATATTTAAGTTATATATATATATATGTCGTATAGAAAGCATATACTGTAATTACGTACCTAACACTACTAAATATTACATACAGAAAGCCTAACACGACATACCTAACACTACACACCTAATAATATAGATATCTTGTATAAGCTAATAAATACCTAATATACTACCAAAGCATGCCTATATACCTATACACCTACATTATTTAAAACCGTATGTGATTCCCAATACTATATACTATACACCTAGTATCTGTTGCCTACCAATTTACATAACTACCACCCCCCGCCACCACAGCCATTACCACAGGGGAGGAGGGGGAGTAGACCACCCCCCACCACCACAGCCAATACCACAGTGGGGAGGGGTGTGGTAGGGCCTGGAGCATATATATATATATACACATCATATCTATATATATATACACATCATATATATATACACATTATATATATACACATCATATATATATATATATACATACATCATATATATATACATTATATATATACACGATATATATATATATACACATCATATATATATATATACACATCATATATATATATACATTATATATATATACACGATATATATATACACACATAATATATATATATATACATCATGTATATATATATATGTATATACATTATATATATATATACGATATATATATATATTGTGAGATATTATGGGACACAGACGCAGTAGATCTTGGGTTTTAGGCTCCCATCACTGACGCCCGCGAAAACTCCGAGGCGAGAGAGGGTGAAGAAGGAAGAACTGAGGTCCTTCTCGCCGAAATTTTGATACTGAAACAAGGGATGGCAGGTATGGTTTTCCAGTATCACAGTTTCACAACTTGTGTGAAACTGTGATTACATCATTGTAAGTACTTGAAGTACTTTAAGTATTGTATTTCATCAACTTCCAGTACTATCATCATTTGTCAGATCTATATCTATATGTAGATACAGATACTAATATACTAATATCTACTTACAAGGGTCTATCCATCATTTGTCAGTATTTTACAATTGGCGCTGCAATTTCGGTTTCCGCAAACGTCACCTTCGATCATCGACACGGCGGGAGTGGAACTCTCCTTCGATCCACAGGTTGCTCCAGATGTTGATGCAGGAGGAGGCGCAGTGACCACAGCTTGAGATGAGCAGTTGCAAAAAATATCAGTGGCTTAGTGACTACTTGGCTTGGCTGTACGCATATATATATATATATGTACATGTATATACAATATATATATATATATATATGTACACAGTATACAGTATATATATATACAAAGAACATGTCATATACTCTGATTTCATATTTAATGTGTAGTATATATATACAGAATATGACAATACATAACTTTTCAATAGCATAGGTAGATATTATATTGGGGATGCTCCGAAATTCATATCTTGGCATCGCAGCACATAGGGCCGACAATCAATCCAGTAATAGGATTTGATATACCCAGTAGAAGGATTCCCATTATGGGATGGATGACCACATCCTATTTACCATGTTTTGACCATGGCACATATAATTTCATACCCATCAGGTTTGATGTTTTTTTTCTCTATGATTGGTGGTAAACATCCCATTGTTTTTGTTTCTAAGGTTACGAATGCAATAAAACGATAATCTGCACAATCCCAGTAACAAAACATGTATGGGGTCATTTTACATCATCTAGGGCCTGCTAGGGGTCATTTTCAATGACAGAAACCTCTAAGAGGGATGGTTTATGGCATGGGGTTTACCATGGTTTACCATGGTTTATGACATATACCCCAATGGTTGATATCTCAACAGTATATTCATTCCATTGCTGGTCAATATCAGCATCAGTTGGTTGAGATTCCATGATCGTTTGAGATCCTCTCTATCAGTGGCCGGCATCACCATCACTTTAGTGGTACAGGTCAAAAAGGTCAAGCATCGTCCCAAGATTCGGCTTTCTCTCTGAAGCTTTTAATGAAGATGTCAATTGGAGAACGACACATGACAGGATCTATATATTCATGGATTCACAAGACTGGTTTTGCCATATTTCATGGAAAAATCTATGGTTTCCTGTAAATTTTCCCTTAAACCAATCCATTGTTTTGCTGATTCTTCAGAGCTCCTCTCAGGCACCTGCGCTTTCAGGAGGTCGCTCGGGTCTCCAGTGCCTTGGCCTGATCAAGCAGTGGGAATGGGAGGTTTGACCGTTTGACCCAGCGATTTGTTTCTTTGGGGGAAGCAAAAACAGACATCCTCAGTAAACATGCCATTACATGCCATTAGGACTCTTTCAATCCAGCCATGTTTATCGTTTTTGAAAAACCATACCAATCCTTTTTTTCTAGGAATTTGGCCCGTCAAGATCCCAAACCGCGGGGTGAAATGGGTTGATTGGTAAAATCGGCAGTTTCACCTCTATCTATTGGGCATGTGCAAAAACTTGGGACTGTTGAAATCAACCGAAATCCACTGTTTCATGTTCTATTGATCTCAAGACTGGACGCGCAACCGACTTCAGTATCCTCAGATTCAAGACATACCGAGACAGAAATCTAGGGTAGTTGATGGCAGCTGATGGTTGGAAGTGACATGTGCCATAATCTTCCTGATTTCTCAGGAGGCCCTACAAAAAATCTTGACAGCAATCCTTGGGGATACTCCTGACATCCACTGCTAGTAAGCCCCAAAAGAGATAGGACCATCCTTCATCACTATAATTCGCTTGGATTTGACTTTCGATCTGGGGCTTTTTCTATTTAATGAGCATCCCTATGGTATGGTATCTCTTTTTTTTCTTCTTTTTGGGGTTTTTGCTATATAGGCTCTATATATACTATATATTAATACATATATATATAATATAATATAATATAATATAATATACTATAATATAATATAACATAATATAATATAATATACTATAATATAATATAACGTAATATAATATAATATACTATACTATAATATATTATAATATAATATAATATAATATATAGATATAATATATCGATATAATATATATATATATCCATCTATCCATCTATCCATCTATCACCACATTCCCATCCTGGACCGAGGCCTTCGGAGAACGCCTTTTCGGCACAAAGGAGACTGGCGAAAATGCGAGGGCCTGCCGTGGTGTTCCGGACGTGGTTGCCATAGAAATAGAGAAATCCAGCAGAAATGATATGGGATGACCATAGAAAACGATGAAGTGTTGGGAAATTGGTGAGTTTCAGATCCGAAAAAATGAAGAGTTGGTACCAGCCAGGTGGGTCTCGAAAGTTTCGGGGACAAGACGACAAGACGACAAGACGACAAGTTTAGTGGTGTTTTTCCTGCGAGGAGCAGAAAAGGAAGCAAAGGACCATGGGATGGGCCGGGAGGTGAACCATTGATCCAGTGATATGCCATCGAATATCCCCAGCGAGTGATCGAAAAGTAAAGTAATAATTAATATGTGGTTAAAACAATGTCATAAACGCACCATTTGCCAGTCAGAAAACCATTTTTATAGGTGGGATTCAAACCATTCCCAGTCATGGGTGGTTAATATCATCATTAACCACATGAAAAAATGGCTGGCATTGTTTTACATCGTTTTACCCATTAAAAAATGGGGTATATCACATAAAATATGGCCAGTATATGGCCATTTAATGGCATGGTTTTAACCACATCAGCCATGGGCTACCGCCAGGCGGGAAGGGACCTGGAGCCGTGGAGACAGGAGCGGCCATCGAAGCCAATGGGGGATGCGGGCGGTACATGGAAAATCCCATAGTGCCAGTAGGGAAAATATGGGAAAATGATGACTCACCACTGAATTTAGAGGCTTCAAGTTTTTGGGGTTCTCTAAAATAGAAGTTTCAGACAGATCCCATGTATCACACCTCTCAGTTGCCATGGTGTGCAAAGTTTCCTAAACTTCTGAAGTAGTCTTTGGAATGTGGTGTCAATTGACGAATCAACTGCATGGGACTCCAGGGACCCCAGGGACTCCAGTGATGTCCCAGTCGAATCCAGGTGATCAGCCAACGGACCTCCAGGCGGACCCGATTTTTCTGTGAAAGTTTGAGACCCCCTGGGGCCGACTTTGGGAAGTCGAAAAAAACTTTGATACCACAGCTTCACTCATATTCAGTAGGCTTCACATATTCCGCACTGACAATTTCATTCCTTTATCAGATGTGTAAGGCCTCCCGATCTTTGCGCCGCGCTGCGCAGGTTAGTAGCTTGTCGGAGCAGCTGCGTCGCGCCATCAACGCCAAGAACTGGGCGGACGTGAACGTGCTCATCAATTCACCCGAGTGGACACCCCAGGACATTGCTCCAAGAATGGGAGCAACGTTGAAGTAATTGATGAACATATTGCCACCAATAGCATCCAAGAGTATCCAGTAGTTAACACATGACAACAATTGGCGTTTCACTATAGGGTCTGAAAATAGGGTACCCCAACTTCCATGGTTGATAATCATTTTTCGCATGATATGGGATTGCAAACCTGGGGGTATCCTGCAATTTTTAGGCATGGCCATATTCATTGTTGGCTAAATCCCAACTTTTGATACTTGAATCCCCAGTTATTAGATGTGATACATGGGCATCGCCGCATCGCAACATGTAGAAAAACCATCCACTAACCATTCATATTGTTACCATATGATGTTATTACTATATTATGGCAGTTTTTTTTTGATGTTCAAAACCCCACCTCTATGATTATTGCATTATGTTATTATCAACATAATATTAGTAATAACAACCCCACCACTATAATAACAACCTCTATGGTTATTGCTAATCCCATCCCCCCAAATCTCAAACACAGCCCTAAATTGTCGCCAGAATCTGGAAAAAAAAACGGGGGATGGCATGATTCATTGCTCCTACATCTCCTGTTCAGTTTTTAAACATTGGATATTATTATCCATAAACATTGGATTAGATAAACATTGGATATTTCTCTTAATCTAATCCAATGTTAAACTATCCATTAAACATTGTTTATAAACAATGAAATCCAATGTTTATTAATCCAATTATATCCATTAAATATTGATCCAATATAAACATTTAATATTAAACATTTACCCATTGTTAACCCCCCGATCCCAGGCAAGTCTGGCTGTTGGCCTGTTCGGAGAGGGGCTCTAGGCAGCTACAACAGGTCCGCAGCTTAGGATCTCAGCCTAGGGCCTAGGTTAATATCTATTAGAAGAGGAGTAGATAAGAGAAATATGATATTAGCATTGGATATGATTATCACATATTATCAATGTTTATCAATAAATTCAATAGATGTAAAACGTCCTTTGGTTATTCATATGGAATCTATGGCCCATTTAGAGATGATTTACCATGATTTACCTATTAAGCATGGTGATTTCCTGTAGCCACGTCAGATAACCAGATGGTATGATTTCATAGATCGGCTTCAGGGAAAATCTACGGGAAAGCACCATTTTTACCCCGAGTATATACATGTGTGTACAATATATATACATATATATTATATATGTTTCGTGTAAACTCTCGCTGCAACCATTTCTGGGACAGATATATTAGATACTGTATCATCAAATAGCATCAAAGGACCGGGTTTCCGAAGAAAACCCGGACTGAATCAGCCAAAGTGGGGATATGAGCAACAACACTGGGTGCAATGACGGGGATATATACCGCAAACTCTTCTTATCATTTTGTGGGTTGACAATGGTAGCAAAGCAGACATCCACTGGTGACCCCTGATCCATTCTTCATGTGACCGTTGCGGTGCCATTTTTGGTAGGATGCCTTGCAAGCTTGACCATTTCAAGACTGGGTTTCATGGCAGTTCTACAGGAAATCCGTGTGTTGTTGATTGGTCATATAGAATATTCCTGAAAATGATTCCAAAGCATCCATTCAGAAAAATCGAAGCCCCTTCAGAAAAATATACCCTCTGGTAATTTAACATAGCTATTGCAAATGGCCATTTATAGTGGATTTTCCCATTAAACATGGTGATTTCCCATAGTTATGTTAGTTTACCAGAGGGTAAGGGAATCCATATCACTATATATCAACCCCTTCAGAAAAATGGTCCGCCGGCTCTGCCAGCTTTTGAAGACGTCCAGTGACACGGAGCAGGCGGGAATGGTGTTAGGAAAGCTACCAGGTCGCCAGGTGGGGTACCAGAACCAGAGAAAATCTCAAACTCACGTTCTTTTATTTTTTTCAATCATTTCAAGAGTTTCAATGAACATTTTTTGATCTTTTTTTTGATGCTTGGGTGGTTTGGGTGGAAAGTTCACGACTTTTCTTCATGGCGACTTGGGGGAAACTTCCCCAGCCAGCTACGCGGCGGACGAAGGCTGATATGCCAATTTTGGTATCTGTGATTTTTGGTAGATATATTGCAGATAAGTATCAAAATTATATGTATATTCAGATAACTTACTATATCAATTATTTTGATTAGTTATTACTGGAGTAGCCATGTTTTTTCTGAATTTGACATATTGAAGGTGAACATGCCCATGTTTGATAATCTGATCTTACGCATGACATACTTGCGTTCCCACATCTACTATACTTGAAGTGTCTGCTTCAAGTATTCCTTGTTGTGTCCACATGTGCACCTCTAGATCTGGCGCACCCAGAAGTTGGAGAATTGCTGCGAGGCGGCCTTCAAGTCAGCTGTCGACAAGGCGGAGCGCACCTTTTCTCACCTTTTCTCAGAGGCTTTCCCAGCTGAGGTCATCCCCGATTTGCTGAGGTCATCATGGGGCTTCAATCACATGTCTTGGAGGCACGCTGGTGAAATGGGTGAAATGGGTGAAATGTGCAGATTTAAGGACCAGTTGCAAGAGATGTGGTAGCTTTATGTAGCTTTCGAAGCTTAGGTCTAGGACAATTGAGCACCCCGAAAATTGGACGGGCAAGACTAAAAACGACAAGTCCATCTGCTTGGCCTTTGATTTACAACTTGATAGCCATATCTTTGATGTGTAGTTTTTGTGTATGACCCTCTACCTCTCGGCCCCAAATCTGGAGTTTGTCATGATTTTAGCACTTCATGGCCATCCAAATCTGCAGGCGACGGCTTCCAATGGCACCTGGAACTACTCCAACTATGTCTTGCAAGCGTTGATTCAGGCTGAACTCGGAGAGCAGGATGTTGGAAACATGGTGATACATTAGCGGCATTAGCGATCTGCCCTGAATGGTGATTCGGGAACAATTATCCGGATCTATGATCTATTTTCATCTTTAATCTCTTTAGAATTCCGGATTTAGTGGTGGAAACTTTCAGATGTTTCAATGTGAGTTTTGTACCTTTTCCCATGTTTTGGAAAAAAAAACTACAATTTTCCCATGGTGAAAATCATTTTTTCCCGTTCAGAACGGCCTCAGGCCTTGCCTGTGGAGAGGTTTACGTTCATCCTTGAGGACAGAAGTGGATCATGGCGCGCTAAAAGCTGATGAAAACATGGTTTTTAATGGGGATATAATGGGGATGCATCACCTGATACAACGGTTTTAATGGGATATGATATAATGGTGTTTTCATAGTGTTTTTAATGATACAATGTGGATGTATCACCAAAAACTATGATACTTATGGTAGGTAGCCATGGTTTCTCCAAGAATGAATTGTGGTTTCCCAAGATTTTTGAGGAAAGCCATGTTTCGTAAGCCCCAAAAAGGTGGACAAGTAGAATCCTCTTTTTGGGGTTAGACAATACGGGTTACCACTAGTTTGGTTATCTTTATTACCAACCCTTGTTTTGTTCTGCCAAAGATAGATTAAACTAGTGATAAATAACTTTTCTATCTATATTGTCTATTCAATTCTATCTTTGGCAGAACAAAAAAAGGGTTACCGTACTTACAGGGGATCATTTCCCATTGTTTTCTGATTGTTTTCCCACTCAACATGACTTTAGTATTCATACATCAAAGAATTCTCACAAAAAGGACAGTATATCATATGTTCTTACTAAATTGTCTATTTGATTTTGTTCATACTTCATTTATCATGTTTATAGCTTTGTCAATGTCCTTCTCTTGGCCAAGTCATGCAGTCAGGAGATGAAGACCCAGGTGGTGAACGTGGCTCTAGATCCCCAAGGCTGTCGTGTGGGGACTCCCAGGACGGAAGCGGAAAACCATGGGACATATCCACTCTAAATATCTACGAAATCCGACGTATCCATGGGGGTACCTTCTGGTAAACATACAAAAAACGAACTGGAACATCACCATGCTATTAATGGGTAAATCATGGTAAATCGTTGATTTCGGCTGGGCCATTTTCCAGTTCGCAAACTGTTTGTTTACCAGAGGGTAGCTCAGGGATTTTCCAGCCCAAGGTGCTTCAACGTCTCTTGGAGCACACCTTGCATGACGAGGAGCGTGCAAGGCACGCTTGGGCTCGGGGGCCAAACACGTGTAATTCCCAGCGTTTTAGAGAGGGTTTTCCTAGGGAAACCCAAGGTTTTCCACATCTATGTTAGTTCCCCCCATGGTGTTTTTCGCATCGTTGGATCATCACCTAGTGAAGGGCACGGGGAAATTGGAGTTAGAGATCCGAAGATCATCAAACCAAACTGGTGGGACATGTTGGGAGCAAGAAAATCGAGGATGTTTTACCTAACTTGCCCTGCAAATGAACATAGATGTGGAAAATCCATGAACATCCGCGAACATCCACCTCATCATTATCGCTGTTATCCCGATTAAAATGACCAGAAAAAGGGAGTGAATTCTCCACCCAGGAAAGCACCCCAGAGAGTCGGTCACAGGTCCCTATTGGAAGAGCTGAAACCTGAAATCAAGAGGCCGGGGCTCAGCCTTTTCGATGTCTTTGAAACTATCAGCCGTTGATTGGCCATGTTCAGATGTCAACCATCCAGTGTCATAGCAAAGAAACTGATGTGGAAGATTCATTTTGAAAGGAACAATCTGCAATCGTTTGGACACATAGAGGCCGGTTTTAAGGAGGCTACGAATAGGTCATGTTGGAGAATGTGGGAGATGGAAGTACAAATCAAGGCCACAGGTTGAACTACTTGATCTGTGTCAAAATATGCTCGAAAAGCCATAGGAAAATATCATCATTTTTCGCATTCAATTGCCATTCGGATCATTCGGCGAGTCCCAACAAAAACATGAGACAAAACCATGGATCAACTCACGAGTTTCCGCGGTCTTTGATGGCAGAAAGCTCCGTGAATCTTTCCAGGGTCGCCTTGGATCGTTACGGAAACCACGTGATGCAAAAGCTCGTGGAGCCCGGGAAGCCCAGAGCTGGAGCAGTTTGGACCATGGGACATTGCTTGGACCACGAGTTGACCCTTTTTTGGCAATGTCACTGGGAATTTAAGCAGCAACAAACAATACATGGTGATTTTTGAGGGATTTTAGCCAGGGTGATTTCACTGAATGGGGATTTAAGATATTTTCTCGAGCAACTATTAATGGATTGGTGTGAGGTTTGAGGCATAAATTGCAGGACACATTGATAAAAACAGTATGTGTTTTTTCCATGGGCAGATGATGATTGAATCAGACATGAGAAGACCCTGGTACCAGATGTTTGAAGAATGCCGATGATCCAAAAGAACTTCAAGTTTCCCTAGTCCCAGATAATATACCTATGCCAAGAGAATCCGAAACCCCAAAAAAGACAGGGTCTCTATGGAAAGCCGTGTTTTCCATTGAAAACCTAGGTTTTGTGGAATTACAGGATTTTGACAAATCCCAAAAAATTGACAATCTCACATGTTTCCATCGATACATTACCATCCTCCAACCACACCACCAGTCACGCATCATTTTGCATTGCTTACTTGATGTAACCCGCTTCCTGCCAATCAGCATACGCGATCTGCAGTGATCGTTGAAGAACTCTTTTGATTACCTGAGTAGGCGCCACGCGGCGCGCTACTCTGCTCTTCTTCCCGATGAAATCCTCATCGATCTGTACTCCGAAAGTCAAAGGGTTCAGGCTGGCAACATGAGTCTTGGCAAGACCCATCATTATATGGTGCACGATGTGGCACTTGGGAAGGTAAGCGAAAAGGGCTTTGGACTGAGAAAAAGCTTCCAACGCCAGCCGTTGATACAGACACAGAAATTGCATTCCAAAGCCACCGATGCGATGGCAAGCAGAAACTTCAAGCCACAGGTCACTGGCGTACATTTCGTGAAAACAGCGGTTGAGAACCACAACTGCTTCGGCACACATGGATAAAATGAGATCATCCGCAACATTGTTTTTGGAGAACCAGCTTTCCAAGAAACGAAGTAACGTGGTCGTGCCATGGCCTTTATGCCATTGGCCATTAGGGAAGGTCTTCCGATCAGGCCATCCGCAAGATTCCTTGGTAATTGCAGTGATATATGCTGGCTCGCGAGACTCGTCACAGAATTGTAAATATAAGTCTGTCAACTCTAAAAACCCAGCATCCACTGTGCTCGCTCCAAAGCGATCCGAAATACAAGCCAGCACTGCTGCCACAAACGACTTTCCTAAGCCGAGGTGAAAAGCGTGCCAGACATCGTAGGCAAAGAATCCTGCAGCCCGGGCTGGGTCGTGAGGCAAACTCAATAAAATTGGTTTAGACTTCCATGGCTCGTCTCCGGGTGTGAATAAAGTACCCAGCCATGCGGGATCAGAGCTCAAATTCTCAAAGTCAAACCCAGGGCGGCCTGCCAAGCAAAGGTGGCAAATGCCCTTTGGCCGCGAGCCAGCGACCAAAGGTTTCTTGGGCACGTTTGAAAATGACCTTTCCAGGTTACCAGCTTTTGCAAGCCACATCCAGTCACCCACTGCATTGATGCAGGCAGCATGGTATCGCTGACCATCAGCATCCAAAACTCCATGCTCAAGCATGCGCCAGCAATCGCCCGTCGTATAAGTCAGAAGATCCTGAAGCGCGGCTTCATCTTTGCTCATTTTGGGCAGGCACCCAGAAATCATTCTGCTTGTGTTCGTTGAGCCGCAGTAGTTAAGTTTCATGCTCAAATACTTTCTTCTTTTCCTTTCGCTGTTGGCCAAGTTGGTTCCAAAGCCTAAAACTGAATGGAAGGATGTGACGAGAAATGGAGATTTCTTTCTCCCTCGCCCCTCGTCTCCATGCATCAAAACTGGAAGGAGTCGACCCTCATCGATGGCATACTTCTGAATGGCGTCAAACAGTTGATGCTGCGGATGGGCTATCCGATAAAGTCTCCAAAACTCACGAAGAATTGCCCTTTCTCTTTTGCCATCTGCGTTGTGGAGGCCAAGAAGCACATGCCATAAGCCATGGCTGACTATATATTGAATCCAATCCCGCAAAGCGATCACATGGAATGTCCCTGTGTACCGCACTCCAGGGGATTTCTGCAGTTCAGTGATTGGAATGCGGAGCGAAAGATTGAATTTTCTTGTTAATCTTTCAACATCCCTTTCGCTAGTAGTTTCATGACAACGGCTCAACTCTGTGAGCCCACGGCTTTTTGCCGCGACATCCTCTCCAAGATCGCTCACAATGCCTTTCGCTGCTCTGATTGCAGCTCTGCAGCTTGAGACCTTGGAACGGCGGGAAAAATTGGAATCATTGGAAAAAGTACAAATATATAGGGGTCGAGGTGTTGGTGGTATACGTTGGAAACCCAGTCTGATCGAGAACAAAGTCCCATGCAGCCAATTCATGGTGTCATGCTATGACAGCGATATCCCAGTCACTGCTGCAATGCGCTGCAATGCTGCAATTTTACTCCGGAACGATTTTTGCTTATGGATGCCGAAAGCTTAGCTGGCTCTTGCCGCTGCTTTCCATAGAGGCCCTGTTTTTTGGGGTTTCGGAATCTCCTGGATATATATTATATACAAAAGTGAAGGGATACCCTTCACAACGGTCACGGAGGCTTGAATTTGAATGACCTGTGCACCAAATAACACATAGAGACACCGTCCACTTCCTCTGTGTTCACGGTGTCCCCCCCCAATCGCATGTTTTTGCATCCACGCTTACCTGGGACGGGAGAGGCAAACGCAGGGTTTCCGCCAACGACCGCGGCAAGCGTTTTCCGCTAAATCTTTGCATGGTGCAGCAATGTCAAAAACTTTGGCCCCTGGCTAGCCCCAAATATATATTCACCCATATATGATATATACCAAGAAGTATATATATATATATTCAATCACATCCAAAGTTTTTGCCATTGCTGATTCAAGATGTGGTCATTGCAACATCAACATCGAATGCAGGCTAGATGCATTTGAAATATAAGATGAGTGCTGCTTCCAGCATCGATGTAGAATATGGTTCATGTGAAATGTGCAAGATAGTCATGTTCGACCATTTCTCTTTTGCACGGCAGTAACCATAAAGGTCATTTTTCCATCTCCAACATGGGTCATGTGTCCATCCAATTTTGAATATAACTGGATCCCATTTGTTGTATATCCGCTCAACTGTTTTGACACAGTGTTCCAACACACGTCCGGCACAAAGATTGGGCCGTGGTAGATCAAAAGCTATGCATGGCATGGCGGCAGATTCATCGGCAATGTTGAGAAGGCGCTTATTCCCTTGAAGTTCAAGTGGTAGATGTGCCAACCATTCCGGGACTGAAGGGGCGACGGGAGGACAGAGTGATGACGACAGGCCTCCCAAACCTTGCCCATTTCCGGCCGCCAGGCCGTCACCAGTGGCTGTCCCAGACCGTCCCCGCCCTAGCGGCACTGGCCACGGGAAAGGTCCTTCCGATTCCTTGATGGCTGACTGGGAAACGGATGACAGGAGATGACCTTCACATCTTATAAATAATTTGTTATATATATACCCTGCCATCAATGGAGACATATAATCGACCCGTGGGTGGGATCATGGGGAAAACATGACCGTACACTCCCTTAAGACATGTTTATACTTGATCGCAATGACAATTGGTAACAACATGTTTCCATTCCATCGATCATTATTCAATTAATTGGGTATATGTTTTGTAGGTTCCTACAATCTAGATAGTATTCCATATACATATCAACTTTGTATTTTTGGCCAAGGGTCACTGCGGTGACAACAAAGCAAATCCAGCAGCTCTTCATCTGGAGTTTCATCAACATCCATGGCTTGGCCATGTGTGGCAACGGTAAATGCCAGAGCTCTATTATATAGTATATAGTATATATACGAATAGAAATGCATTGCTTATATTCATATACATGGGGTAGCCCTCAAAACGAAATGTAATCCATTGATTAGTATATATACGGGGCACGTATTATTCAACACATGCCCATGAAATTGATTTGGTTCAACATATATATATATATACCTGGGAAAATGATATGGTTCTGATTGGCTGCAAGCTCCATCCATTGACCCCAAATGGCGAGCTTGTAGGCCGAATCGAAGTCATTGTCTTGGGTGATCCATGCACTGCACTCCCGATGCCTTTGAGGCCAGAACACCTTGGCCGATGTCTTTGCTGAATGCTTTCACGGCATTGCCAGCACCTGGCCAGAACAGACGGGCGGTTGTTGGACCTATACTATTTCGTCTATATATATACATACACGGTGTTGGGGCCTGGCAAGAAAGATATAGCAGGGTGTTGGCACTGCGGCACTATGCATCCAGCAAGATTGAAACCATTTTTCCGCTCGATCGATGTTGGTTTCAAATCCCAAATGCGAAGCATTGTTTCTGTAGACATCGCATCCAGTCAGCCCGCAGATGAAATGCCAAAAACAAATTCACATTAATTCACAGAATGTACTGTGCCCAAAACATATATAGGTGGATGGGTCTTGGATGGGCGACCAAACACGGACATGGATGAGTCCAGAATTGAACAAGTCCCGCAGGTGCTATCCTGTTTCATGTCGG